GTGAGAGGTCAAAGGTCATTTGGGTCAGGGTCATGAAATTTTCAGAGGTGTAAAATTGATAAAACACGAAGGTACTGAAAGTTTTGTCGCGATCGGCCGCGTTTTGCGCGAGCTATTCGGGAAAACCATAGGGGGGGGGGGTCCATCCGACCCCACCCCCTACACATGCGAGGGTTAAATCAGCTCACAAAGTTTGCAACCCAACTCAAACTATTGATGCCAACTCCAAGTATTTGAAGTTATCCATACGGATTGTGAAACCAGTGCCGACCAAAATGGTACAAAAATACCAAATGCCGACAAGGTATTAAAAAAAAAAATTGGAGAAACACCACCTCTTAGCCCAAACATCAGAATACCACGCCTTTAGGCAACCGCGAATTCCAGTAAAGAGATGCACCGATACGTAATACGACATCTATACGCATTTTAATTGCCATACGTCCGCTTCCACAAATTAAAACATTGGTGAAAAACTATTCGTTGGAAGCGAGCTACTGATGCTATTATGGTTCAATAACTGACAGAATATTCGACATTTAATGATGCAGCTTGGTGCAAGTTTTCTCGGTGGCAAATGAGCTATCGAGCAGAGAAGCCAATTTACTGAGAAGTTTACCAAACAATGCCCTCACCAAGGCTCTCAGAATAGCTCTAAAAGTATCGCCTTACTTATTGATCATTTATGATCGTTTGACTTCCGAGTGTGCTACAAAAAAAAGCTTCCTTTTTGCCGTGCAGTACGATGATACTATGATTCTATTGCGTCACACTCTTACTGCGGCAATGCACAGTTATAGCAGCAGCTGATTTTGAGTACCTGAAACTTGTAAGGCTACATATAACCGGTTTTATTTCAATCGCGAAACAGCAGAAAGATGGCGACTAAAAAGCAAAGCAGCTAAGAATAAAATTTATCATATAATTATTCTCATATGATTATAACATCAAAGTAATGCCTTTTTGCAACAAGAGTTCGGGGAGGTGGTGAAATAATAATAATATAAGAATAACCAGTAACCTCATAATATAAATCAGAAATAGGAGCCAAAAAGTTAGGTTTAAAATTATCGAATTATCGAAAATTATCGATTAACAGAAGAATATTTCGCTCCTGGAGCTTCATCAGCGATAACAGAAATATATGTACATATATATATATATATATATATATATATATATATATATATATATATATATATATATATATATATATATATATATATATATATATATATATATATATATATATATATTTCTGTTATTATCGCTGACGAAGCTCCAGGAGCGAAATATTCGATAATTTTAAATATAACTTTAAATAACAGAAAAATATATACATATTTTTCGGACGCCATTTAATTGCGTCCCAGAAAAGCTATTTCTGGCATCTAAAAGCTGACTCGCCCCAAAATTGGTCCTCAGCACCTATTTGGTGGATACCAGCACCAATCATGGAAAATGACCTTAATTAGCTGTTTCTGGCACCTATTCATCGGTACGCCTTACTCTTTTTTCTGAATCTGGCACCTAAATGCTGAGCGTAGCACCAATCTAGTAGACAAATGAACTACTGGCTGGTAGAATCATGTTGTTCTGGTATAATGACCCCTGGAGTCTAGCCTAAAGGTTGCCAGTGCAGCTACACTCTAAGACAGCCCCGTAGTGATCTCAGCATTGTATATGACGTTTAAGTAAGCAAATAATATTGATTTGTTCGAAAAAAACAATGTCATTTAAATATTTAAAAGTATTTATTAGTAATGCTTAAAGGGAAACATTTTTGTGAGTAATTGTCTCGATTTCCACCATTAAAACGGGTATTGTATTTTTTGACGTCATCAAATAGCTCCAAAAAAGAAATGTAATGTTTTCATTCCGTTCAAGGCCGCTGAAGAAACGCGAGATCTTGCGTGGGACATTAGACGCGTTTACATAGGGTTTGTTGCAAGCAACATCACGGCTCCGTCCGTGATGTTGCAAAAGATGCCGATGGTGCTTAACAATTTACAAAATGATCCCCTCTAAATATTTGAAGACCACTGCAACGAAATTATCGCCAAATTAACGAGCTAGAGCCTCGTCAAATATGCTATGTAAACCGGGTTTTTGTCCGTGTTTGCCGCGCAGAGTTGTGCCGTGGTTGTGTGCCTTTTTCATCCGTTTCTTACTTATGTGTGCATGAAGCTTTGATTTTGTTTTTGGTTATTGTGTGGCCGGTCAGTCAAACGCCCCTGTAGAAACCGGATGCTGCGTTTGATCGAGATGGAGTCAGACGATGATTGCAGAAAGCTATTGAAAAGAGGGCCAGTTGCGTGGCATGTCTGTTCAGAGTTGACATTTTGCTTTACTCCAGTTTATGACCTGAGAGCCTGGCTGGAAGTGACGGATCCAAACTTTTCACGTTAAAATGGCTGAGGGTGCAATAATCTCTACATAGCGGGCTGGTATAGGAGCGTCTTGCTATGCTGCACCATAGCTGGCTAGTGATTCTCTTTTGGCTAGAAATGGCATTAATCATTATCTCCACTGGCGAAAATGGCACTTGACATCACCGAATGCAACGTTCATGTTTGTTAGGATACATAAAATCAGAAAGATTACGCGAATTAGGTAGGCAAACGTGGAATAAAATAGGTGCTGGATGTTTTGGTCTTGGTGCTGAATCAGCAAACAGCAAATACGGAGTTCAACTAGACGATCTGGCAACTTTAGGCTGTGTGGAAGCAATTAGGTGCCAGATTCAGATATTAGGGTCGAGTAAGCATTTTGGGGCTGATCAGCAATTAGGTGCCAGAAACAGCTTTTTAGGGACCAGAAACAAATATTCCCCATATTTTTCTGTTATTATCGCTGACGAAGCTCCAGGAGCGAAATATTCGATAATTTTAAATATAACTTTTTGGCTCCTATTTCTGATTTATATTATGAGGTTACTGGTTATTCTTATATTATTATTATTCATCATGAGCCCCAAGCAGAGTTTCAGCTTTTTAAGAGGTGGTGAAATGTCATAGCTTTCATTAACACTACGGTTGTATGCCGCAACGGTGCAGCCTGTACCGCATAAAAAACGGCTGAATTTCGGTTCCTTCGACTGCGGCTGACCACACATCAGCGCAGTGCATATTCTCGCACGATTGCGTTTGGTGGTATGTTTGGTGAAGGATGGAATATATTCGTTGCCAGCTATCGTTAGGTAGCAGTTTCTCTTAACCCGCGCCCGGCTGGGGGTCCTGGATTTCCACGCCCTGCTGGGGGGGGGGGGTGTTTGAACACCCCCCCCCCATGTAACTCGGCTCCTTGGCCACGTAGCGATACGCAGAAGGCGGCGTTCGAAAGAGCGTAAAAATAATGACGAAATCATTTCGGTCAATTTTTTGGTCAGGTCAAAGGTCAGGTCACCAGAGGTCATTGAAGGCAAAATTTCGCCGATTTCCAGGTCGAATGTCGAAAATTTCCAAGAAGCCAACGCATAACTCGGGAACCAATAGAGCTACAGCGCCGCGGAAAAGTGCGTTCGATAGCCCTATTAACGCCCTTTCTGAGTAATTCTCTCAGATTTGACCTAACGTCAACGGTTTTGCCTGCAGGGGGCAAAACTGCAAAAATAGCCGATTTTTTCGGAAACAGTTTTTCTGCAATAACTTTTGACCCAAGCCTTGAACGAGCTTACTTTTACCGGCATCGTGTTCCTCTCGTCAAGACGCATCGACTGAACTATAACTTGACCTTGAAAGGTCAACTTGAAAATTTGACCTCAGGTCAAGGTCATGACCTGACCGGAAAGGGTCATGTTGCATATCAGTCGATCCGTATCGTCGAGCTGAACACATCTAAGGCGTTTTCATCGCTCTAGCATGCCTCTATCAAAAGTTATTTGCGAAAAACTGTTAGATACCATTCGTGACCTAAGATGACCTCAGGGCACAAACAAGGGTCACGGACACCATTTTCATGTTCAGTGTGTCTAAACCACTTGTAATTCGGTGTTTGGGAGTGTTTATAATGTCTTTCGTCCAAAAGAGGCGCATTTCAATTTTCTCCCATTGACTTATAATGGGGAGGTCGCAAAATTGACCTGACCTTAGGTCATCGATATCAAAATTCTGAGATATACATTTTGTACATGCTATTGCTCTTAGCAATCGCTGAAAGTTTCAAAGCGATCGGTCACTCGGTGTAGCTATGACAGACAGTGAAACATTTTATGAGGTGAGGTCACTTCAAGTGACCTGGTGACCTGACCTTGAATGACCTTGGTCTGAAATTTTCACAACATGTGTAGAATTGATGTATGATAAGGTGTATCAAAAACGGCGGGAGCGCCGCCGTTTTTGAGATATTCGCGAAAAACCACAAGGGGGGGGGGTGTTCAAACACCCCCCCCCCCCAGCAGGGCGCGGGTTAAGAAGCCCCTCCCGCACGTGTGTGACCAGCGCTGTGTTCGCCGCAGGGTGGAGCATGTTCTGGAGGACTCTGCCGCCGAGGCAGCCGGCATCAGAGACGGAGACCTGCTGATTTTCGTCGGCAAGACCAATGTAACAGAGGCGGACTCAGATACTGTGAAAGAGCTGATCAGGTTAGGCCAATGTCACAGGCACACATAGGATACAGGGAAAGAGCGATTCAGGTAAGACCAACGTCACAGAGATATGTGAAGGAGCTTCTCAGGTAAAACCAATATTAGAGGCAGACGTAAATACTGAGAATGAGCTGCTAAGGCTAGAACAATGTCACAGAGATACTGCGAAAGAGCTGCTCACATTAGACTAGCACAGAGGCAAACCCGCACATTGTGAAAGACGTGGTATGCGCTGGTATGCGCTTAAACTATGTTGTTTGATAATTGTTGATGATAAAGTGTGTTGTTAATCTAGGAAATACAACGCAGATTGAGCGGAATAGTACAATTACGCTTATACCTAATGCATTTTGCATAATATCAGATAACGACGGGGTAAATTGGCAGCATATTGCTTGTTACCAATCACAATAACATGATACATCAACACAGGGAGAGCGGCGACACGATCCTGCTGGACATCTACCGGCCGAGCTCGCCGGGGTCGGAGACGGACAGCGCGTCCAGCTCACGCAGGTCCAGCGTGATAAGCTACGAGAGTCGCCCGGGCAGTGGAGCCGGCGGTCCGTCCCTGGCGGCGAACAGAGGAAGGCGGTACTCGGAGGCAGACGCCAGCCTCCGAGGCTTCACCGGCTCAGAGAAGAGCGTTGTTACTCCGCGGCGTGAGAAAGATATTCAAGAAAATGAGAAAAGGCGAGATCAGCAAAACAGCAAGTCTGACAAAAAGGAAGTTGGAAAAGATCCCGATGAGACAGTTCCCCGACATTTATCTGACGCGGACATGTCCCGGCGCATCTCCGACGGTTCGGAGTCGACCCTGTCTCCTCTGGAAGAGGACGAGGAACCAGCAGGCGGTGCCGGCCCGCCCCGGCGCCTCAGCTACCCGCCGACCCGTGCGTCCCAGCAGAACAGACGGGACGACCGCTGCCTCTCCGTGCCGAAAATCCTGCTGCACCGTCCAGACGGCAGCGGCGTTAGTTGTATCGGCAAGGGCGGCGCCAACGACTCCGGCAGTGACACCGATGTCGGTACGACCGCAGTGGAAGAGATGGAGAGCGATACCGATCAGAGCTCGTCAGAAATGGCTCAACAAAAGAAAGACGTTACTGAGCCGGCATCGGAATGTCAACAGAAATCGGACCAGCCAGCTGGTGGAGGAGAGCCTCTGAGAAAAGTAGCCACAGACCTCGCTCAAAAGGTAATCCATGAAGCACTCGAGTCGCACGCAAGCTCGTCTGGTACCGTAGATGACAACTGCAACCGCCCAAAGAACGACAAAACCACTTCAAAGGAGACTGAACAAAATGCCAATCAGGCTACAAGTCAAAAGCAACGTTCACAAGCGGAGACTGAAAAACGCAACAGCATCGTCCAGAACACCAAATCTCCTTCACGGAGGGGGTCACAGCAGATGGTTGACCCGCCCGAGGCCGAGCTGGAGTATTACAGGGTCTCACCACGTCCAGACACCCCTATCAACGAGGTGGCGCTGAGGAGGTACGGTGCCAGCTGCCGGCCGCGCCAGCAGGTGGTGGTCTCTGCCAGGGGACCCGGAGGACCCCCAGAGCCGTGCGGCCGGCTGGTGGCGCAGAGGAGGGCCAAGTTTGAGTTCCCGCAGGACCGCGAGCAGGGCGGCACGGGGACACACCCGGAGCAGGCCGGCACGAGATCAGAGCGGGGGTCGATTACAGGTTCCGCCGTCAGCTCGCCGGGAAAGCCTGAGAATGAGCGTCACCAGTCGTTTCCTGTCGGCATGGACCGTGGCACGGGAGCTGACCCAAAGTCGGGTTCAGATGTCAAGCCGACAAACGTAAAAAAAGCACAGTCAAAGCTGATTAGCTCCAGAACGCGTCAATCAAACGGTGAACTATCACGGGACACGTCTATTAGGAAAGAGGATTTGCGTCCGGACTGCGACAAAAATGCAGTAATAAAAGCTATCAGCGTTGTGGATGAAAGCTTCAAAGAAATCAATCAACTCGACAACGATGACCAGAACACCTACGCAGCGGGCGATTCCTCCGAAAAGACTGTCGATCAAAGGAAGCCTATCGCGGTTGCTGGCAAGGCTGGGGTCTCTGCTGTGCGAGTTGCTGGTTCTGGTGTACCCTCCGAAAAACGCTCTGGTGAGGCCGCTTCGTTGCCGAAAAACGTCTCTCAGAAGCCAATCGAACGACAATCAGCGGAGCAGCGTCAACAGGGCGTCAGCGAGCGACAGAGGACGGTGAGCGGCGGACGCCTCCCAGACAGGAAGACGACCGGGCGCGGGGAGCCAGTCTCCGCAGAGTCGGGATCCACCGAGACCAGCGACGAAGAGGACGAGAGCGATGACAACGAGCTTCACCACTGGGTCGTGCAGGTGAGTGAAGTACCAGGCCAGCACAGAGCGGGGGGATGAGTGCAGACTGCCTGTCTCGTGTGTGCAGCTCTGTCAGACTGTCACGGGCGTCGGGAGGGTGGCTGTAGACTGTCAGTCTGGTGTGATGGGAGGGTGTCTGCATACTGTCACTTTCGTGTGTCTGGAGGGTGACTATATATATATTGTCAGTCTAGTGTGTCAGGGGGACTACAAGTACAGACTGTCAGTCTCGTGTGTTGGGAGGATGGGTGCAGACTGTCAGTCTGGTGTGTTAGGAGGGTGAGTGTGCAGACTGTCAGTCTGGTGTGTTGGGAGGATGTGCACTGTGTAGCCTGCCAGTCTCGTGTGCATCGGGAGGGTGGCTGTATGTAGACTGTCAGGAGGGTGAGTGCAGACCGAAAATACAGGCTCGGAACCATGAGTGGCATGCCATTCATTCCCAGGGCGGGGGACGTAGGGTCGTTTATAACCTGGTTGTTAGGATGTTCAGCCGACAGCCATATATGTACATACATAAGAGGCTCTACTGATGTTTAAAAAAGGCTCGTACGATTTAATTGCAGTTTATTGCAACGTTGGTCTGCGCTTAGATTCTAATCCATTATCTCAATGAATTTGAAATATACTCAGGCATTTAAATTATAATGCAATGTGTGTATCAACGTTCCTTAATAATGTATTCAACTGAAACAAGTATGTTCGTATAGCGACAAGAAATGCGAAACAAATGTAAAGGTACACATACCACATGCTCACGAGGCAAATGTTTGGCAGCATGTGGCGTAAACACGTGACTAGGTTGAAAGTACGCTCCATTTTCGTTTAACTTTGCTGGGCTGGCAATGCACTCAGACTCCTGTGAAACGCTGATGTTCACAATCAGCACGCTCCTCCCTCATTTAACTCTCCCCAGCCGTGGGGGGTTTATGCCACCACGATATTTTTCCCGCACCTACTCAGAATCCTTGAGAAACCATTAACTAACCCAGTGGCGCGGGAACCGGGGGGGGGGGGGGCTAGCGGGGGCTGAGCCCCCCAGCTTTTCGGCTGGGGGGCTCGTAATGTATTTAAGCCCCCCCCCCCAGCCGGAGGAATCGAAATCGGAAATCTACCAACATAATTTCATAGATGCATACATAGGCGCGGGAACCGGGGAGGGGCAGTGGGGGGAGGTTGCCCCCACAACTCTGCGGCCGTGGGGGCGGTGCCCCACAACTTTTCATGAGGCCAGGAACCGTTGGGCAGCTTGTCCTCCCCAAATTAGGGGTTGTGGGTTACAAAGGAAGAAAGCATATAAGTGAAAAATCCGCCTCTTTCACTGGCTCGGCAACTCATTTGGCAGATTAAAACCTTTACTCCAGGTTGCCAAAACGGTAGTTTCTTCACTCAGGTGAGACGGAATACCTCACTTTTTTGCTTTATTTTCGTTTTTTTTTTTGTTGTTGTTTTTGAAAAGGCCAAAGTCTGAAAAAGTGGCCTAAAACCAGTGAGAAAACTAGATTTGGGGGTACCCTAGGTTGATCTGTATTATGGTTGAGCCGCCCCCCCTCCCCCCCAGTCTGGAAGAAGTTCCCGCGCCACTGAACTAACCTTTCGCACGCCTATAACCTATCATTCAGGCTGAATCTATTGGTCCCAATCGTATTTGCAGGTCAGTTGACCTGCCCTAGTTGACCTCACCAAAGGTCTCACGGATAGTTCGCAGCGCGGCAAAGGCCATAAGATGATTTTGGTTGTTACCTCCCGGTTACCTGCTCTCTAAAAATCTATATAGCTGCAGATGATAAGGTATTGAGCCATTTTTATCGACACCTCGACGATTTTTCTGTATTATCTACTATCTGAGAAATGGTGAGTGCATCAGAGCCGATGACTTTTCTGTATTATCTACCATCTGAGAAATGGTGAGTGCATCAGGGCCGAGGCCGTATACGGATGCGTGAAACTTATCAAATATGTTTTTGCCACTATCAATTATCATTGGCAGAAGCTGATCGGCTCCAACTCCATGCATGCACCCAGTGGTCACTCGTACGACTCGTCCCCCTAACCGGAGCGCCTCTACCCGCAGGATACCACATCCCCGGGCGGTGGGGGCGCACCCCTGCCTCAGCATCCGCGCGGGGCGGCCTCCCCGGCAGACGGTCCATCAAAACACAGACACAGGTCAGAGGTGCAGCCCGCTGGGGCCTGATGCAACTGAGACCACCGGCGGGCTGCAGACGGTGGACGGTCCCTGTTTGTATTGCCACCCGCCGGTGATGTATCGGTGGTTGGACTGTGAGCTATCGGCTGACATGGACCTCGGACGAGTGGTGTCTCTGAGAGGCGGCCCAGTCGGACACTCTCCGCGTCCTTCGCGTCAGAGCTGCGGCCTGGAACGTTAAAAGCCATGCGGCATAAAATAAGAAAGGAAGAATGCTGGATTTATATTTGTGAACAGTAACACCATATTATGTTCCGTTGTGAGCAAAAAAAAAAAAACAACAACAAAAGCATGCACGATTGAGGTGATTTCAATCCATTACCTGGCTGTACACTTTGTGAGCCCTTTGGTCACCACTACAAATGCAATAACCCGGCCGGGCCCGGGGGGGGCCCGGGGGGGGGGGGGTAATCCCAACCACCGCAGCCCGGGGAGGGGCGTTTTTCGCCCCCCGCCATGTCTAACTCCGTCAATATGGGAGTTACGGTAACAAAAGCGATACCAAACGAAAGGTCCTTACGAGACGATTCTAAAGCACCTAAAATGTTTGACCTCAGGTCAATTTTCAAGGTCAGAGGTCAAGGTCAAAGGCAAAACCGGCACATGTGTAGTGATCTCAAAGTAAGCGTTCTAGAGGACGGCAGGATACATCAAACCGGCAAAATTGGTTGTCAAAATTGGTTGTCAAACGAAAGAAGAGAATCTGAGGATTCCGAAACTGTGCTCAAAATTAAAGGTCAAGGTCAAGGTCACGCTCAAAATGGACCTCAAACTTTGCACTTTTTCGTGCATCTTGCGTGCTTACTTCCAAGATGTTTTGAAATGTTTTGAGGCTTATCAGTTCCCTATTTGTGGTTCATCTTACGATACTAGGCTGCTCAAAGGTCAAGGTCACAGAAGAGTATCCTTGCTAGAGGCTATTTCACTGATTCAAGTTAGTAATAATAAATAAGACAATTTTGCAATCCGGAAGCTCTAAATGAAAGCTTAGAGGAAAATAGATGCCAGATTCGTGATCAGCGGGTACCAAATCAATCATAGGCGACCTTTCATGTGTCAAGGTCAACCAAAGGTCATTCGAGGTCACATGAGGTCAACATAAAACTTGACCTTTTCCAAACAAAATATATATCATTCGACGCGGCTTGACAAGACGAATGCGATGGTACCACTTCCGTAGCTCTATAGGACCATTCTTGTCGAAATTATTTGCGAAAAATTAAAACCACATTTCGGGGTCGTTGACCTGACGTCTGACCTCAGGTCACCAAAACTATTTTTCCGTTTTTCTTCAGGTCAAACGCTACACAACCGTGCTCGTAATTTGTCTTTATCTCTAAAACTCTATTTTAGCAGCTATTTGAAGTTTGCGTCTGTGACGCCGAACTTTGCCGTGCAGGGGTCTAGAAAAATTGACCCTGTGACGTCATCAAGGGGGCTATGGCCAAATGTTTTTTCTTCAGAAGATGTCAAATGGATTGGAGAAAAGGTACTGAAAGGTTGGCTTTCCTATCCCTAAGCGTTCGGGAGCTATCGCAAATATTCGCCAGGGGGGGGGCGAAAAACGCCCCCCCCCGGGCCCGCGAGGGATAATGTATCCGATTCTTGCCCAATAATTATAAATTTTGGAAGTTCACTGAGCGAAACTGATTCGAAAATGTGTTTCAATTATCATATAGAGAAATTCCTATATAATATTCTTGAGGCATAAGCCGACACACACATAAATCTGCTTCTTTTTTTGCAGCGGAGGTACTTCACCGTCTGGTATTTCAAAGGACACCAAAGTGTCGAGCTCCGGGCATTCTTCAGGTAAGCGGGTCATCTGCAGCACCAGAATTTGGTAAGTCCCCGCTCCCCATAATTCCATTTCGCGGAAGTCGCCAGCTCCTAACGTGACAATGTATGACAAATACGTGATTATCTCTACAAAGTTTTGTAATAGTACTGAATATTTGATAGCACTTGCTAATCCAACCTGCATTTCTAGTGAAAATATAGAATCAACGAGCAGATATGGTGCACATGTGTCGAAGAGCAGCTAATTATGCGATGGCACGTCATACCTAACCGTCTCGTCCTACGCCATCATCTACGCCTTTTATACAAGCGGCACCTTTCAAACAGCACAGATGTTCTTTTTTGACACCTCAGTGCGCAAACCAAGACAGGAACTTTTGATTGGTTTGATGTCTGTTCAACTCCGACCTGCAAGCTTGTGAGGTGAGTTGCCTTTTCGGCAACAAATACTAAGCGAAGAACCCAGGCACCACGGGCCGAGTTTAGCTCCAGCCGTCTGGAGACTGAGATCACCCAAACATCAGCACGGTTAAATGCCTGGCGTCATCCTGAGCAGGTGTCGATGGAAGCACGCCAGGTAGCGGCTCATGTTCCGAGGTACTACAGCCAGAGGCCAGGTTACTCAACTATGTCGAGATCCGGGTCCAAGTCTGGAGCCGGGGCGGCCACCTCACTCAACATCACAGGGATGCGCATATACCTAAATTGAGGGTAAAATCAAGGCCACAATCGGCTTGGTGGATGCATAGTTATAAAGAGGTTAATGGTTGCATCAGAAGCTTCGGCAAGTACAGGTGTAGTTACAGAAAAATGACAAGCTCAAGTAAAACTTCCCTAAAAGTATATGTATGCATCTCATCACACAAGAAATAAATGATAAATTGCCTAGATACGGCCATCTTAAAAATTTGTCCTCAGGTCAAGGTCATGAGCTGGCAGGAAAAGCGATGTTGCATATCAGTTGGTCCAACTGCTATGGTATTTTCATCACTTAGACAACATGAATCTACCGGGAGTTATTTTATTTTATTTTTTTGACTTCTTGTGATATTTAATCACATCGCAGTTACATCAACGATATAATGAATTTGGTGTTATTGGAACGATTTAAAGGTAGTGTGCCAGCTTTCCTGGACCGTATGGAGTTAATGGCCCAGATAAGGAGAACCGGATTCGTTACGGTCCAAGGCGGACATGAGGACAGGTGGCGCCGCCGCCGCTCGCATAGCGGCGGGAATGTGAACTAACCTGTTTACCATAAAGGACTGTGCTAACGGCCGCTGCGGGCGCCGTTTGGGGGCTAGTTTTGACTTTGTACCGCAATTAATGGTTTATTTATAATAAAAAATGGACTAGCGAGAGTCGTGCCGGAATCAGAATTCAATGTTCTACCAAACTAAGCCATTTTCATTGTGATCACGTCATAGACTTCACCGCCCAACCCAGTAAAGCAGAAATATGTCGTGTCACCGGTGATTACATGCAAAAATTATTTGGCATATAGCATAAAAACCAGAACACCTTTGACTGCAGCGACTATGCGGTACTACAGAAAAATTGTATGGCCTACCTTATGGTGCCCATTACTTAATAATTAAGTTGAGTATTTCGTCGCCTAGCTCTTGTAAAACCGTATGTCCGCTAGTCTATGGAGTTTGGACCGTAACGTTTTAGAACTTGTCCATACCTTCAAAACTCATGGAAACGTCTTAAATTCTTCAAATTTTGAGTACCCCAGTGCGAAATTCGCCCCGACGCACAGTGGGGATTTTTCCGATCTAGCGCCTATTAATTCAAAAAATATTGTTTGGATTTTTGTTTATTTTTTGTGTCAGTAGGGCTAAGAAATGTCTGAATTTTTCATATATGGCATTGTTTTATCTGTATGTCCACAGCAAAACTAGGAAAAATGCGCCCAAAGTTCACACTCATGCGTGATTACTCAATGGGCTCAGCAAGGCCCGAAAGTATAGCTCAATTTCATTGTCCTGTCCTGTTGGTTTTAATCTTGCGAGGTCTTAAAGTTGCATATCGTCTGAAAGGCACCTTTATTAGGAATGGAATGGCAAACAGAAAGTATGCCACAACCTTTTTAAGGTCACAAAAATGCCCTTTACAAAAAACCCTTACAGACACCATATTGAAGGAATGGTATTCTAAATAAAGGTAGGAAATCAACAATGTTCTCCACACTTTTCCACTCCGAAATATATCCTATCGAATTCGCCACTTTCTTCTGCACAAGACAACGCCTAGTTTGGCTGCCGAAGCTTGCCTGAACACGGAATATTCACATTAGAGTATCTTAACACCCCACTCGAGGAGCGCTAGGGCAAACAGCACGATATAGGTATGTTCCGGACATAGGCGAATAATTTTACTTCGTGATTTATATGATGCATATTTTCTGAGACACATTCATTAAGAATAGGATGACAAGCGTAAATTATACATACCGTAACCTTATTAACCATCGCACTTGTGGGGAGGGGGAGGGGGAAGGGGTCGGATGAAACCCCATGGTTTTCCGCAAATTACTCGCGCAAAAAGCGGCCGATCGCGCCGAAACTTTCGGTACCCCCGAGATCATCAATTTTACATCTAACCTAAAAATTTCATGACTCTGACCCAACTGACCTTTGACCTGTGGCATATTTCTCGAGACCATTTTTGGCCGGAATCGCGATTCGGCGTATGCCAGCTCACATTATCCGCGGTTTCCAGTCTTTTTGTGGTTTTAAACGTTCATATATGTGAAATGATGTTGGTGCTATGCATAATGGTGGGAGTCAAGGTCACGTGAAGGTCAAGTCAAGGTCATTGACCTTTTGATGACCTTGGTTCACTTTTTCGAGTTTTACTTGTTTCTAGGGTAGTTTTTGGTGCTGATTTCGATTTTAGTAGCCATTTGAATATTTACGAAGTAGGTCTAGTGCCTTCGTTCCATGTTACGAAGCTATCAGTAGTAGGTGACACTTCTATGGATGGCCGGCAGGACGCCTACTAATTGATCTAACCTGACCTGACCCGACCTGGCCTAAATGCATAAAGACATCGTCTGTGATCAAAACTAACATTAAATTCGTGATCAGCACCCCAAAATACCCCGTAACATCCTAACTTTGCGAAGTTTCAAGAGGTCTCGATTTCCCAACTTCAGTTGGGTCATTAAACTGACTTGGAAAGTCAGCTTATGACCTTGGACTTTGAAATTGGATATATTCGGCCTAATTTCGTCATAGGCAGCACGCTTGACTTTTCCGCGAAGCTCTAGCTTGATCAGGGGCCAAACGGCTGAGCGGGGGGTCCAATTGATCCCCCTATATTATGTTGATTATGCACATTTACAGGTAAAATTCTCACCAGGACACACCAGCCAACATCTGTGCACAATCTGGCTACAATTCTACCTATGGTTTGCCCTCTACGAATAAATACGTGCTAGATCGGAAAAATCCCCACTGTGCGACGGGTTGTCGGTCGTACCCCCAACCACATTTCACACCACTATGAACAATAAATGCACACACTGAAATCGCTATTACCGATAGGCTCATCCAATCAAGTTTTGATAAACCCGTTCCTCATCATCTCCTGCGGTTTCGAACACGCCTGTTAGGTGCCCCGCGCCCAAAGCCAGGGCCCCGGTAACGTGAGGTAACCGAGTCAGGGCAGCGTGCGCTGACCCAAGCCGGGGCCGCGCGTCCTCCCGGTGTCATGTGAATAGCCCGGGGATGCCCGGGGACGCGGTAGACCGCGCCCAAAGCCGCGGCCCCGGCTTGGGTCAGCGCACGCTGCCCCGACTCGGCTACCTCACGTTACCGGGGCCCTGGCTTTGGGCGCGGTCTACCGCAGGTGGCTTCTGCTCATACTTTGTGGTACGGTGGTGGTGCGTCGGGCCGCGCGCTCTGACTTCGGCCAAGAAAAATGTGTCAGCTGATCATTGTCATTTCTGCCACTTGCGTGCGGTGAAATGGGGTCATAACTTAAGAGCAGACTTGTGCCAAGGTCCCAAAAAGATCCGAGATCCAGGGTTCGCAGAGTCCAAGGTCTGGGACCTTGATGGATCCTGGACCTTGCATTGTCATTTTTGTCATGAGACCTTGGAAACCCAGGACCTTAAACCATCCATATGCCGCGAGACCTTGGAATCCCAGGACCTTAACATTTGCATATGTCGCGAGACCTTGGAATCCCAGGACCTCAACATTTGCATATGCCGCGAGACCTTGGAATCCCAAGACATCAACATTTGCAAATGCCGCGAGACCCTGGAATCCCAGGACATCAACAATTCATGTGACATGAGACCTTAGAAACCCAGGACCTCAACATTTCATATGCCGTGAAACCATGGAAACCCAGGGGTCAGGACCTCAAAATTTTGGTATGCTGCAAGACCCTGCAGAATGCAGACCTTCAGTCCCAGTTTTATTATTTGTCATGGAATCTTAGGAGAATGGTCTGGACCTACACCATCACTTTGTTGAGGGACCTCAAGAATCCTGGAAGCTGGACCATGAGGTTTATGTTGCACATGGGCCACTAAGGACCCTGCACTAGGTTTTGTCTGTAAACACTTCAATAAGTATATATGGTTGAGCGACCAGCTGCAAGGCGCTAAGATAGATGCATGAAGAGAAAACGAACCAGACTGTGTAGACATATATAGAGCCAAATCGTTGTCATGGCTGTGAGGCAGAACTGGAACAAGAGGCCTGGTAGCTTTTTACATTATCAATGTTTTGGATTATGAAACTGTCAAATAGTGGACAGTGGTGGTTTGGAAAGGTCTTTTCTAATCTCACCTCACATATTTTCTGGGTTGTGATATGCCGGGCTTGAAGCTACTTGGAAGCTACCCACTGACCAAGTAAGTGTCAAACTTATTTGTTTTGAAAGTCATCAAATCACCATTGAACAATGAGCATTCAATATAAGCAATTATTCCATGACGGTTCAACTTTTTCGTTTAGCAGGTTTTCGTCGGACAATTTTCGTCTGCAGATTTTCGTCCGCAGACTTTCGTCTATTGCATTTTTTTCGTCTGTGCATTTTTAAGTCCGCGCATTTTTTCGTAAGGACATTTTCCGCCTCGTCCAGACGAAAAAATGCCGGACAGAAAAATACTCAGACGAAAAATGCACCAAATCAATTCGTACAGACGAAAAAATGCAAGACGAAAAAGTCAGACGAAAATCTGCCGACCAAGAACCATCTGACGAAAAAAATTGTCAGATGGAATTTTGTTCAGAGCCTTCAAGCTAATGTGAATGAACAGTAAGTAAGGTTTGCGCTCGCTGATAATCTAATTCTATTGGCTTAATCGCTCAGTTTTTCTGTGAGCGCTCGCGCAAACAAGACTTGGAACATATTTGAGTTTTTATCCTAGGTATTATGTAACTGAATGTGCAGAAAATCGAAGGCATATACCTATCCAGTTCAACTTTTCCATATTTATGAAGCCTGTAGGTTTTATTTCTGGCTTTTTGATATTGCCTGAAAGAATACTTGAATGTCTGTCTTCAATAACTGTAAGGTGCTATTTTTTTTTTTGTCCTACATTCCTATCCTACATTCCTACATTCATACTGATCAGGTAAGATTGATTTGAAAGGGACATGACAATACAAATTGCAAGGTACCTATTACCTACCTATATTTTTATGAATTTTTCAGGCTAGAGAAGGAGAGATCGATATTATGATCATCTTTAACTTGTGTTGAAGCTCCCCCTACCTATGTTGGTAAACGATAAAACCACCACAGGTTTGCATAGGTTCTGCCCCTTTCAATGTTGCTGGGCATCCGTTGGCAGAATATTTAGAAGTAAGTCTGCTCATCAGAATGTTAGTTTGTTTTAGTTCTTGTTGTGGGACCCTGAATACTTTGGATCCTGAGATGTATTCTTGTCGTGGGACCTTGAGGACTGTGGACCCTGAACTCTGAAGTGTATACTTTCATGGGACCTTGGGGACTGTGGATCCTGAAATTCACACTTGGCGTGGGACGCTAGGGACTGTGCATCCTGCAATGCATTCTCGTCGTGGGACCTTAGGGACTGTGGATCCTGCAATGTATACTTGCCGTGGGACATTGGAAACCTTGGATTCTAGAAATTGAATTTGCCATGGGACCTTGGAAACCTTGATTCTAGAAATTGAATTTGTCGTGGGACCTTGGAAGCCTTGGATTCTAGAAATTGAATGAGCCGTGGGACCTTGGAAACCTTGGATTCTAGAAATTGAATTTGCCGTGGGACCTTGGAAACCTTGGATTCTAGAAATTGAATTTGCCGTGGGACCTTGGAAACCTTGGATTCTAGAAATTGAATTTGCCGTGGGACCTTGAGGATCCTGGATCTTGATTTTTGGTCACGGCACAAGTCTGAACAGCTGTTTCATATCAATTATTTTACATAAAATCATATTTCAAACCATAAATTAATGTTCGACGGCCAAATTAAAGAAACAATACCAATACAGGCTTACAGTTTAAGTTCGACATTGTGTTGCCTACGATTAGACACAGCTGATAACTCATTCCCGTACGTCGTAACTCTAAAATGACCTTTGCTTATTGTCACATCTGCGCTGCATTCGCGATTGTTGCCGACGCCTGTTTGCAGGTCAGCCCACTACAGTTGTTTTACATAGGTATCGAAAAACTGATAAACGTTTAGGCGAAAAAGCACTATTTTAGGCCCATTTTTGATTTTTTTCGATATTAGGTAAAAACAGAAGCTTCTTATCCTAGGAAAAATACAATGGAAAATGTAGAATATCCAAGACGGTTAGGATAAATGATAACAATAACACGTCAAATGTATATTTAAACACACAAAGCTTTCGGTATGAAAATACCTTGATCACTGTGTTAACAGAAATGAGGACAGAAATTGTCACCGGCAGCTTGTACAAAAATATAAAATAGCACTCGAAAAATAGATCACAATCACGAGATTATCTATCGGGGTCCTGCCACTAAGCTTACAGCGCATGTTGCTAAAGTTATAAATCCAGTCCTAGTTCTCGTGATTGTGATCTATTTTTCGAGTGCTATTTTATATTTTTGTACAAGCTGCCGATGACAATTTCTGTCCTCATTTCTGTTAACACAGTGATCAAGGTATTCTCATACCGAAAGCTTTGTGTGTTTAAATATACATTTGACGTGTTATTGTTATCATTTAACAATGGAAAATCATTGGAAGGTGGCACACTACCTTTAAAGTTCATTTTTTTATAGAGATTACGTTGCACTTATGAATGTTCGGTACTTTAAAAATTCATTCGGACGAAATACCTAGGTGCGGTCTCATTCTCACCCACTGGCAGTAACCCAGGATATAAACCGGGTTATGAACATGGCAAAAAATCAGCATCAGGGGTCATTGAAATATTCACATTTTATTGAATGCCAAAAAGCATAATGAAATAAGGCCAAGTCCTTTTACAAACAACTTACAACGCCTTTATCACAGGATCAAAAGGAAAATCGGAAACTGGGATTGGATCGTCGATCACAAAACCCTTCCGAAAGAAGGACACAACGAACTCTTCAAAACCAACAGAGGTAAGAAAGCGCAAAGATGTACGTTGTACAAACGTACATACGTTTAAGTTGCGGCTACATACCTACTAAGATTTGTAGAATTATTTTCGTGTTTAGTGCTCAGTGTTCACTGTTCAGTGTTCACCCAAACGGTGATTGGTTAAAAATAATACGATCATGTTTGTTTCATGTTATGTCTTTGTTGTGCTTATGTGTTCTGTTTTGGTTTCTGATTTGTTGTGTCACGAAATCCAGGCAACGATTATAAGCCAACATGAAAGTTAATCAGAGCATTATCAATTATGAACAGTGCTCATCTTCAAGGATTTGGCTCTGCCACGATCACATGCATCATCTGTCTTCACTGGTCTGCCATTCATGCAAACTGCATAGTGTTCATTAGCTGTGATGCGTGCATTGTAAATGTGTGTGACCACCGCCCCAAGCGACGGGGCGCTAAGTTCTTTGTGCTTATCGGGGTAGATAAATAATAATGCTCAAAAGAATCTACCTGTACCTACACGGTACGAAAAGAACACCAAAGAGCTGTAAAGAGAATGTTACAGAGTTTCTTGTTGACTCCCACTCCCGCTACACCTCGATTTATCTGTAATCATTTGAAATGCTAACTCCAACTCCTCCGACTTCCGACCATTGTCAACAGCCGCCGGCGCCGAAGGAGGACCTGTTCATCACACCCCCGCCCCCCGCCGACTCGTCTTCCCGAGAGGCCAGCGACGACGAGGCGTCCACACCGTTCCAGAGATCCGACCCGGCGGTGGGGCGCGATTCGCTGACCCGCCGCCTGGCTCGGCCCGTCAGCGAGGGGGCGGTGGAGCGCGCTCCGGCCCGCACTCCCACACCCGAGTCGTGGCTGGCTGCGCCCGCCGGCGACCCGCCGCAGAACACCGGTGCGCCGGCGGCTCCGGCGGCTCCTGGAGCTCCCGGGGCCAAGAAGCGGCGGGCGCCGGTGCCACCGCAGCAGGCCCCTCCTCCGCCGCCGGTGGCACTGGTGCGTCCTCGGCACAGCACCGGCGGGTGGACGGCAGAACAGATGAAGGCTTACATGGAGGCGAGCGACCCTAACGAGGCACGCCGGCTCGGTCTGGCCGACTGGGACGAGCCACCCGGCGCAGGAGGGGCCGACCCGACCGGCCGTCGAGTGTCCACGGTCTCAGGTGAGCGGCACGGACCACGCACTGAGAGGGCGGACGTAAACCACACTGAGATGGTGGGAGCTAACAATGATAGGGTTGGCACAGACCAATAGGAGACAAGGTTCACTAGGATTGTGGGCAGCCACAGACCATGGCCACACACCACTGCACTGGGAGGGTGTGAAGTTGAACAGACCACTGAGGATGAGCCAATTCACTGAGAATACTGAAATCCAGACCAATAGGGTGAACCGAGACCAATAGGCTAGGTAATGACCAATGTAGTGAACAGACCAATGGGCCAATGACTAATGACAGACCATTGAGAGGGTGGTCTCCACGTGGAAGTACGATCTGAATTCAGAATGAGGTGCACGGAACAAACATTGATTAACCCGCGCCCTGCTGGGGGGGGGGTGTTTGAACACCCCCCCTTGTGGTTTTTCGCGAATATCTCAAAAACGGCGGCGCGGAGCGCCGCCGTTTTTGGTATACCTTATCATGCATCAATTCTACACATGTTGTCAAAATTTCAGACCAAGGTCATTCAAGGTCAGGTCACCAGGTCACTTGAAGTGACCTCACCTCATAAAAAGTTTCAATGTCTGTCATAGCTACACCGAGTGACCGATCGCTTTGAAACTTTCAGCGATTGCTAAGAGCAATAGCATGTACAAAATGTATATCTCAGAACTTTGATATCGATGACCTAAGGTCAGGTCAATTTTGCGACCTCCCCATTATAAGTCAATGGGAGAAAATTGAAATGCGTCTCTTTTGGACGAAAGACATTATAAACACTCCCAAACACTGAATTACAAGTGGTTTAGACACACTGAACATGAAAATGGTGTCCGTGACCCCTGTTTATGCCCTGAGGTCATCTTAGGTCACGAATGGTATCTAACAGTTTTTCGCAAATAACTTTTGATAGAGGCATGCTAGAGCGATGAAAACACCTTAGATGTGTTCAGCTCGACGATACGGATCGACTGATATGCAACATGACCCTTTCCGGTCAGGTCATGACCTTGACCTGAGGTCAAATTTTCAAGTTGACCTTTCAAGGTCAAGTTATAGTTCATTCGATGCGTCTTGACGAGAGGAACACGATGCCGGTAAAAGTAAGCTCGTACAAGGCTTGGGTCAAAAGTTATTGCAGAAAAACTGTTTCCGAAAAAATCGGCTATTTTTGCAGTTTTTGCCCCCTGCAGGCAAAACCGTTGACGTTAGGTCAAATCTGAGATAATTACTCAGAAAGGGCGTTAATAGGGCTATCGAATGCGCTTTTCCGCGGCGCTGTAGCTCTATTGGTTCCCGAGTTATGCGTTGGCTTCTTGGAAATTTTCGACATTCGACCTGGAAATCGGCGAAATTTTGCCTTCAATGACCTCTGGTGACCTGACCTTTGACCTGACCAAAAAATTGACCGAAGTGATTTCGTCATTATCTTTGACGCTCTTTCGAACGCCGCCTTCCGCGTATCGCTACGTGGCCCAGGAGCCGAGTTAGAAGGGGGGGGTGTTCAAACACCCCCCCCCCCCAGCAGGGCGTGGAAATCCAGGACCCCCAGCCGGGCGCGGGTTAATAATTAGCTGTTGGAGCTGACCACAATTAGATAGAACAAATAAGGAGCTTAAGCTTAATATACCTATAGCGTATGATTAATGTTTTTAATGAAACACATTATAAAGAGATGGAAACGTACAGAGCAGATTAATTCAAATAGATCCGCGTCGCAACGGCAATTTATATAGAAATAGCTTGGACTGTATTCATTAATATCGTATTTTAATTGGACATTAAGCTGAACAAATCACATCTAACACCTAGGCTTCATTACGACGAAGATATTAGTGTAATGGCAATATATTAGAACGCTATCTGATTCTGATGCGTAATTACAGCCCAATCAATGCCCACTGGAAACAACAAAAAGTCGAGGAATATTGCAAAGGCCACCAAGAAGGCCCTGGGTGGCATGTTTTCACACTTTCAAGTAAGTCAGTTTGAATTTGATAGAGTGCTAACTGCTAGAGGTTATTGTAGCTCCTCTCCGCAGAAATGTGAGCGAATTAGCCGTCACGAAAGTACCTAGCGTCAAATGGCACCACACCTGAAGATGACTGATGTAGACAGATGATAGAAAATACCAGATAGTCATTTGTTTGGATAGACCGACCACCCGTGAGCGCCCTCCTTACGAACACGTGGCCTCGTAGTCAGTATAGCACCGGGTAAAATAGCGTAGACATGGTTGGCACGTAGGTCGTAGACCATTCCCTTTTTTTGACACTGCAGACAGCAAAACGTACTAACTGTGTTATGAAGGACATGAGAGGCATAAAGTAGGCGAATGTAACACATCAGGGTGGGGAGAGACTAACAACATTTAACTATGAAAAAGAGTGTTTACAGATATCAAAAGCGTTTAACATGTTAGCCTTCGCACTACCAGGTGGTTCCCCGCGTTTTTTTTTTCGCAAATAACGCAATTAAACCTTGGCGTATTGTGACGAATCTGTCAGTACCAAAGAGTTTATCCATTTTACACCTATACCTCGAATATTTCATGACCCTGGTCCAGATTGTCTTTGACCTGTGACCTGCTTCTCAAGATTATGTCAAGCCAGAATTGGGATTCGGTGTATGTCGACGTGATGTCAGCGCACATTCTCCGTGCGTTAATGCGTTTTCATACTTGTGTGATAAGGAAGGCGTCTGGGGGTCCGATTCTCCAGGTCTTATGCGCTTGCAACTGGGCATACGCCAATAGAGTTGACGGTCAATTTGTGTTAACAAGCAAAAAAGAAAACAACATGTTCAAATTCATATTTCAGATTAAGAAATTTTGTTGGATGACCTACAAAGACATTATTTTTAACCTATCCAAAAGTGGATTAAGCATGAATCAAGTTACGGGAGAATATTTACTTTTAATAAGAAATAAGAATCGACTATAGAGTAGGTTGTAGTCAAAGGAACTTAATGGTGGCGTGCGAAACTAGAACACACAGGACGCAATTTAAGTTAAGTATGCAAAACTGCATCACCACAGAATAAAGCATTAACCAAAAGTACACATGATCCAGATTTGTGAGGATGTATCAAGGATCGGATCAAGGTCATCTAAAGAAGGTAAAGTCACTCTCCAACAACCAGCCAGAAGCGGATCCTGAGTGACGTCACCCCTGACACACGCATGTGGTACTCCCGTCCCTGACAGCATATAATTACATATTTTATGGAAGGTTTTTGATAGCATACTACGAATAATGTTGAAACATAAATCCAACCGAATCCAATGTAGCGCATAGCACCCCCTTATGATAGAGCCAGAAGTAGAGTGGCACGGCCCTGGGTCGGAAGACGGAGGCGGTCACATCTCCTTCCAGCAGAAGTGATCAGCTGTCGACTTGGAAGCCTCGTTCGTTTATTTATGACTGGACACAATTATTAGGCCATATTTGACCCTAAATTTAGGCCATAATAATTGACCGCGATCAGAGAGGGTCACGCCTGGTGCCATCAGAGACTATTTTATATGTTGCATTTACATCTACATTCGCAATTGCACACCATAACATCCATGACCCTATCGATACAAGTTGTATACTGTGAGAACTGAGTAAGCACTGTAACATGCACAAATACAATTAGTGTTACTGTGTTGTTATAGTAAACGGGATAGTTTTTCGACGTTCGAAGACTCGTACTGGATGGATGTAGTTGACGTCATAAATGCATTGGCACCTTATATAATACAGCATCATATTTATAGCATCGGTGTATATTGTTCCAGGTCCATTCAAATTGCTTTACATAACCATTCGGTATGCGACGTTACTATCTTAATGCACAATATCGTTTACCTCTTTGGTCCTTTACATCTAGCTTTCCTTCGCAGACAACCTCATAAGCAGCGAGCATTCAAGCGAAGGCAGTATTGATATCAATGACATCCTGTATTTAATGATGTTATGACATTCCACAGCCGAAGTCTCCCGATAAGGAAGAATGTGCGAAGTCAGATTCATCCAGCAGGAGAAGCAGGTAAGTGTAATAATCTTGTCTGATCCAGGTGAGCTAATATTGAGTTCGTTCCCCTGAACTCGGCCACAGCGAGCATATACATATAGTAAGCTGTCGATACATAGATGTTATACCTATATCAGGCAATTATATAAATCTTTTGGCAGAAGGCATGGCAAATGTGGACTGATAAACGGCGGAGTACTCCGCCAACCGTCAATATTAGATAATACACATTGGCATGGCAATATATTGTCTATATTACCATTAATATAAAATAAGGAAATTTCTACCAACTGCTCGATCAATGCAATGTTGGGATCAAACTTACTCTGACCCGAGTTTTCTTGGAAACCCGGCAAGGATGCGAGCCCGAAGCTATCCGCTTAGCATCAGGAGCGGCTGTTCGCTCAAATGCGTTCGTTCTTAATTTGCACAGCGTTAATAACTGTGGCGTCATAATGACGTCAACACAGTCACCGGTCCCAATGCACCATTACCAGCGTGTACTGGATACAGGTGATGATCACTCTCGCTTCAAAAGTAGCAGGCTAGGAACAACCGCACAAAAGGATACGGGCTCCGGTCGGTGGTCAAAGGCATCGAATATCTGTAGATACATGACGTCAAGTCCTGCTCGGTACAAATATGCAGGGCATAACTGTTTTGGTCTATGAAAATCCCCAGTTGTTAGGCCCAAGGCCATATATAGAAGGTACAAACAGTCACTCCCCCGCCGACCAATCAGAGACAGATCCTGAGTAACGTCACCCCTAATGCTCGCAAGGGGTACTTTATTCCTTTTCAACGTAAAGATGACTAGATTTATTTGAAGATTAGTGATTACACCCTACATATACTGCTCAACCGTTGGTGTCCATGGAAAGGCCAACTAATTTTCAAGCGACAAAAACGCGGCAATATGCTAAGAAATGGCCGGTTTGAAGATATAGACGATTTAAAACCCTCTGCAGTAGCATGAAAGCAACGTAAAAACGCATCGAGCTTATAGTTTTATTATGAAGAATTCATTTTTCACTAAGTTTTTAGATAAGGTATCGCTTAAATTAACAACTTAATTACAACCTTTTTATTATTTGTAACTTTATTTCAAAATAATATTTTTTAAAAATGGCAGCTGTCGGCAAGTGGCTTGGAAGCGATTGTGGCACGCCGCGCCATTAATTGTCCTGAGGCCCCCTTTGGATGTCATCAAAAGTGGAGTGACATGGGCCTGGTTAGGCCAAAACGAGAAGAGTCTGATTAAAAGAACACCTGCGCCTCTTTTGTGTACAGAGCGCCGTCTATGAACCACCAGTTTCGCCGTTACAATGCCTAATTACAGAAAAAGACGCGTAGTTATCCCGCTACGCAGCTAAGGGGAATTCTCTTCATATGTGCTCGGCACTTGATGAGACTCATTAAGGAAAACCCGTCAAGGGCCTCACACTGAATAATTTCCCTGACATCGGCTTACCGCAGGGACTAGCTGAGGGATTTTTTTTAATTTACGTAGTTAGTTACGCACGCTCTACGGAGAGTAGCATTGACGTAATTATTGGGGACGGCTTTATTACTTTTACTTGCATGCATGCATGGGTCATTTTCTTCTTTTTATTCTTTGCTTATGTTGCGTCATAGTGGAGTGAAGCAGTGTCCAGTGGACTCATATTAAGGGGGAAATTTTCTCCGCCCCGTTGGTAAGCTAGAGACAAGACAAGACCACAACAACCAATCGCTACATATGTAGTTAGAATTAGATATAATCAACAATCCATAACTATAATTTGATTATGATCATTTGATAAACACTTATTATTTTCAGCTTGGTTATTTTTATCTTATGTTTAATGAACGTGTTTTGTTGCTATCCTACTTAGTACCTATCCTAGTATATACAGGGTGTCCCATAAGTTCCTTCTCGCCTAAATTTTTCTTTTAGAGGCTCTCTTATTTAAAGTCACGCTTAACTTATTTTGTAACTGAGCTTTTGGGGTTGCCATGGCAACTGTGAATATGCTCCACGATAACTAATTCGTCTAGACAAAATATTTTTTGCTAGGGAGTTCACTTCCTGTGGAGACGGCTTACGCCACAAAATAGAGGTCTCCGATACGGGTACGTCTCGGTATTTAGTCCGCACCTGGGCTATTCGCGACGGTTATACTCATACTCATACTCATATATTTCGGTTACATCCAAGAAATTGGTTTTCAGTAAACCACGTCATACATTCAGTAGTTCAAAACTCATACCTATACATACAGGACAGATTCTATAGAGGTTAAAACACACCACACATGATAAACTGACCACATTGACCTAGCGCAGCCGGATTAAACATGCCGTCTCTTAACCTTTTTACGGAACGCCGCCAGACCGGTGCAGCTTCGAACAGGCGCAGGCAACTCATTCCATGAACGAGTTGCGCGACAGATGAATGAGCGCCGGGCAAGCTCAGTTCGCACGCGCGGGACATGAAGCTGACCGTCACTGGTTGCCCTAGTGCTGCGGCTCGACACCGCAGTACGGTGGACGATGCGGCTGCGGATCGAATCAGGGGCATGCGAGTCATGCGGTTGAGGGTGATTGAGGCCATCCAGTCTGTAGCCAATGTCTGTCGCTAACTGTACGCACAGTCAGCAAGTGACGCCGATGAATTGTCTTGAGTCAATTGTTGCAAGTTTATGCTCTTTTTTTTGTCAGCTCTCAGGAGCGAGCCATGTGGCAAAAACTGTGTGGCGCCAAAGTGGCCGTCAAAAAGGTCTTAGCGTTAGGAAGTTGGTAAGCAGGCTTTTCGGGATGGATTACCAGCTGTCTTAGAGTATTATTTCGGGGTAAATTACTCACGGTCACTTGGACTTAAACTTAACGGAGGACGCAAAACAGTCGAAAATGTCTTAAATGGCCAAACATGTGTTTCGTTATGCCTGAGGCTAAAAACTGGAGGGCCGATGACATAAATGTGGTCATCTGGACTACCTAGTCCGTGTTCGAGATAAAACAACCGTCCAAACCCGAAAACGGTTCCATATGGGCGACGGAAAGGGCCTTCGTGTCATCCCGCTTTATTCCTATGCAAAAGGCCAGGGTCACGGTAATGTGGGGTAATATGCGATCAGGCGCTGATCAGGTTGCGATTGGTACTCCAGAAACAGTGTTGGGACGCAGAATGCTTCTCCAAGAAGATCTAAGAGGAGTTTCAGCCTTCTAGCTTAACTCGAGCCGTAAGTATGAGCGCATTTTTGGAGGAGAAAATGGCATCCGGGAGGTCGTAGGCCAATCTTCAAGCAAGACAGTGCATCAGTGCACAGGTCAAGCAAAGCTTAAAAGCAGTGCCAGGAGACTGTGATAGGCGTCTGTGGCAAGATCACATCCAAGGCAACTCATCGGATCCAAATTTCATAAAAATGTGTTGGGAATATTGAAATCGAGGCTCGTCGAAGCGAAGCCCTGTTCCAGCCTCGAGGAGCTCACGGCGCATGTCAAGTCAGGCTAGGCTAACTTCAAGCCTGCTATGCTGCCAAACATGCCGGCTGGCATGCTGCAGCATGTATTCATGTGCTTGCCTATGAAATGGGGAGCACATTGAGGGATCATAAACATATCAAAACGCAATGTACTCTGTTTTACATGCAATTATACGGTGAGAACGAACTTATGGGACACCCTGTACCTATTGTATTGTTCGTATCCTATAGCATCCCACTACGGCTCATCATTAACCCGCGCCACGCTGGGGGTCCTGGATTTCCACGCCCTACTGAGAGGGGGAGGGTGTTTGCTAATTTAGGGGGGTGCCGGTTAATTTTTGGTCAGGTCAAAGGTCAGGTCACCAGAGGTCAGCGAAGGTAAAATTACGCCACTTTCCAGGTTATCATTCGATAATTTTCGACAAACCGGCGCATAGCTCAGGAACGGATTGATGTGAAGCGCCGCGCATTCGATTATACCTAGATCTGTTAACGGCCGTCTGTCGGAATATTTTTTTTCAGAAATGACCTACGGTCAACGGTTTAGTCTGCGGGGGGCAAAGACCGCCAAAATAGACGTGTTTTGCGGAAAGTTTTTCTGCAATAACTTTTGACTCACAAATTGTACGAGCTTACCCTTAGCCGCATCGTGTTCCTCTCGCCAAGACGCATCGAATTAACTATAAGGCGACCTCGGAATGTTAACTTGAAAATTGGACCTCAGGTCCACTGGTTTAGACCTGACCGCAAAAGATCATAGACGCGTTAACATAGGGTTTGTTGCAAGCTTATATCTCCGTCCATGATGTTGCAAAAGATGCCAATGGTGCTTAACAATTTACAAAATGATCCCCTCTAAATATTTGAAGACCACTGCAACGAAATTATCGCCAAATTAACGAGCTAGAGCCTCGTCAAATATGCTATGTAAACCGGGTTCATGTTGCATATCAGTCGATCCGTATCGTCGAGCCGAACAAGCTAGGGTGTTTTAATCGCTCTAGCGCGCCTCTATTAAAAGTTACATATTAGCGAAAAGCTGTTCCATACCATATGTGACCTGAGATGACCTCAGGTACATAACGAGGGGTCATGGGCGCCAATTTCCGGTTCAGTGTGTCCTGTTTACATGCAATTCGATATTGACAGTGTTTAGAACGACGTTCGTCCAAAAGAAGCGCCTTTCAATCCCCCCCCCCCATTGATTTACAATGGAGAGGTTACAAAATTGACCTGACCTAAGGTCACCATCCACCGATATCAAATTTCCGAGATAAAGATTTCGCACATACTGCTGCCTTTATCACTTGGCAGAATGTTCCAAAGTGATCGGTCACTCGGTGTGGCTATGGCACGCATTGAAACTCTTTATGAGGTGAGTCACAGGGAGTCACAAGTGACTCATTTGACGTGCCCTGGTGACCTGACCTTGAGGCCCTTGATCTAAAAATTTCACAGAATGTGCAAAAATGGTACATGATAATGTGTGCCAAAAACAATGGCGCGGAAAATCGCGAAAATCGTAGGGGTGTTCAAACACCCCCGCCCCCAGCACGGCTTAGTTTAAGAACCATGTCAAATTATTTGCTTAAATTTAACAAAAAAAAAAAAACGCCTAAACTTTTGACCAAAAGTCAAGTGTGCAAATACGATCAAAAGATTTTAGATGCCGAAAGGACTAAGGCTTGGGCTGTGCAATGTGGTAGGTACGCCATGAGACATGGTGCAATTTATGAGCAACGATACAAACTCAAAACCGTTCGACGTTTATTGTTTGGCAGTCCGATGCAAAATTTAACATTTTTGGTGTAGATACAAAAAAGGTATTCTTCAGATTTCTAATTATCACATCAATTATATGAGCTGAATGCCAAATTTGTAATCAGTGATACCGTAGGTAAGTACTTATAAATAATGCACATGCCCATGGATGAACACCACTGAGTGTTAAATCTCGTCCGAAATCGCTGAACATGAAATCCGACTTTTTGAATGTGAAATTTTAATGTGTTTTAGTTTTAAATTTTAATTTTTGATAGCATTATCTCGTGAAAGGGGACCAGCTCCAATTAAATGACGATCTGATCTACAAGGTCGGTTGAAGCAGCGCCTCAGAGCTGGCGGAAAAACATAAAATATTTAATCAACATGCAGTAGTTGACTTAACACATCACACAATTTGGATGCTCCTAACGCTGCGCATTAAAACAAATGGCTTAAGACACAAAACAAAACTTAACCATCTTATACAAAAAATAACTAAGCTCGTAGAACTTTTTGAAACCTGGGTGATACAAGCCACCCTTCTATTTTGTTTTCTATTCTTCTTCTATTTTGCAAATGTGGATTGATAGGAAAATGCTTTTACTTGTGCTACATGACGTGGAACGCTGAAAACCCATTTTATGGATGTATTCCTAAATATATGATATGATATGATATTTTCTGTTTTGGTCATCGACGCATTTGCGCCCGCGCGCGCGGTGTCGGCTCAGTCCCACTCCCACCGGAGCCGGCCGGTCGTCCGCCACCCCCGTGGGTCCGAGGTCCGCGTGACGGCCCGACACAGGTAGGTACCGACACCGACCGTGGGCGGTCCGACACCGGTCGTCCTGCCGACGACCGGTGCGCCGTCAGAGGGCGGCAACGTGCGCCGCCGGTCACGGCAGCCGGCCTGGCGCCCGGCGGCCGCCGCTCCGGCAGTCGGCGACCAGACGTCGAAGCGATCAGTCGTGTCAGATCCGCGCACACAGCCATCATGAAGACCCTGGAGATGTGGAAGAGAGTTGTGGCCAAGCTGGCTGCGAAGCAGCTTAGGTGAGTGTTGCTCCTGTGTGGGATGGTGTGCGAGGCGGTGGAACTTTTGCGCGGATGAAGTTGCATGTTTGATTTTCTCCTCTCTGCTGGTGCCTCGGGAAAAGATTGACTGTTGCTAGGCTATTGTGTACGTATTCACATGAGCCCGTCATGACTATTGTGTTTGGCGAATTTAACAAGAATCTTTTGACAGTTCAGGATAGTGATGTTCCTTGTTTTCGTATTGTTTTATGTAGCTTCCTCGAGTATAACAATGGACAATCAATCACAGTCTGTCGGATCAGGGAAATGTGACACGGTTGCTCATGACTGCGTTTCAATGGCCTTCCGGGGTTTTACATAGATGTGAACCCTTCTATGGCACTTCATTTGCATTTAGAGGTCAAATAATATGATTCAGTGCAAAGAGGAGTGACGTGCACACTGAACACCGATATTTCCCGTACCCACACCAAACACGGTCGCTGAGTCACTGTGCCCGTCTTTCCGTGCCGCCCTTGGATTCAGCCGTGTCATAACACGGCAAGAGCTGGACCACGTGTGTCCAGAACGTTCCGGCCCAAAACGGGCTGTCTGGAAATTCATTCCCGCCCCGCGCTGCCTGTCACGGGTGCCGTGTTAGACTTGCAAAGTAGTGGGCAGGCAGACGGGAGCGGTCTGTGTCGTCCCTTTGCCGGCTGGAGAGCAGAGGTGCCGATACTGACCCTTGCAGGCCCCGGCCCGGCATATCGGCGCATTTGGAATGCGATATGCAGAACGCGCCGTGCACTTACCCCCATCCAAAACGGGTCATTCTGGGTTCCATCGGCGGGCCCCTGGACCGGTCTCGGACCAGACGCAGTAAAAAATCACGGCCCATCCCAGATCATAAGATTGGGCAGTTTGTATTTGGTAGCAAAGGCATGCGCTGTAATATTATCTAAGCCAAATCCGTCCTCGGTGAAGTCCGAAGGAATGCACTTCGATCGGTATCGAATTGTTTATTTTGGTCGATACATGCTACAAAAGCACGCTAGTCGCCAGACGTCCCCATGCGCCCGTCCCACCATGTCTTGGTTCTCGTGCACCGGTACCGTGCCTGTGCCGGTTTCGCGAGCCACCCTGGCAGCCCTGTCTGACGGCGCGTTCTCCGGCAGCCTGAGCCCGCGAGGAGGCCTGCTCGGACCGCTCTGCCGCCGCCGCAGCGAGACGCCCAAGATCACGAAACAACAGCAGCAACAACTACAGCAACAGCAGCAGCAGGCGCGCCTCTGGGCCAGCTCACTCGCCACCCTGCTCAGCTCCAAACGTGAGTAGCTCTTGCGCAGTTCTTTCCCTCAGATCTCGACCGATCCTCGCTCTCGTACTGATACAAATATGGTGCAGAGAGCACGGGACCGACGCCGCGCTGCTCGTCTCACCGATATGGTGCAGCGTGACGGCTATTTCCAAACCTGGAACGATCGACACAGGTGCCACTTTGATCCAATTCAGATCCCGTTAGCGCGCTCTGCCCATCTCCTTTGTACCGTCGCATATCGGCACTGCATTACGGAAATGTTTGAAGATGGCCGCCATTGCTGCACAGCGGTATCACAAAGTGAGAGTCTGGCCATTTTTGCATACCGGTAGAACGGGGACATAGCGGTAACCAGGGTGGGTTTCCTTCAGCGCCACAATGCCCGGACGTCGCTCCTGTGACTTTTCCCTGGGTAGGGCAGGTAATATTAATGATAAAAAAGATGAAAAGAAAACAACACCGTACGACATTCATTTAAGTCGTAGTATGACATTGAACAATAATACTTCAATTAAGTTTACCGCAAAACGTAGCCGTTAATTTCTGAAGCTTCGAAAACATCCTATTTTTCAATCATCTGAGATTGATATTTACCGGGCAAATATGTATCGAGGCGGAAAATGTGGCCCAGCCCTTCATTTCCTTAATTGATAGGCTGCAACATAGAAACAGCCACAGTTATGCTCTTGACACCATGGAACAACAAATTCCTTTTAACGTTCCCACCTAATTCACCGTCATTTATAAAACATATTCACCTCGGGCGAACATCGCCAACTGAACCGGTTTGCAATTTTCATAATGTCTCCGCTGTATTCCAACGGAATGTATTCTACATGGACGTCTGGCAGTGGGACCCAGGAGATATGCCCGCTGAGGCGCGGCCGACAGCTCTGTTTTGACAGGTCCATCTCGAGACGGCCTTTTGAGGCAGGCCACTGTCATGATCGGCGATGGATAGGGCCTGAGTTGAGCCATGACGAGCTTCCTGTCGGGGTTTGTGAGCTCTCCCCCATACCCCCTACTGCACCACTTTGGGTGTTGCCGCACCTTTTCTGCGTCCGTAGTGCGCACACGCTGGCGTACTGTGAAGTGGTGACGTCAAACGCACCCCGGCTGGCCGGACGTGTTCGGCACACCCCGACATTTGTTCGCCGCCACCGGGAACGGCAAGCCGCACCGTTCGACCGGTCCGCGCCCGGTACCGCCATGATGCAATTCGACATGGCGAGGCATGACTTCATCGTGCCCACCCCGACATCTTTCTCGCCACCTTAACGGGCTGATAATCGGGGAACAGCGACGCCCGTGCAGCCCGCATGATGAAATAAAAAGTCCGTCGGGCCGACCGACCGGGCAGGGTTCGCACCAAGTGGCGGTCCACTTGCAGTATGATGCGCGACTGTAAATAGCCGCTCATTCCTAGCGGAGGATGCGCTCGCCGAGTCGTTTCGGCGGAGATCAGTGGCATCTAAGCGGCCGACTAGACACCGTTTCATCAGCTAACGCTCACGAGGCTGCCGGACCGTTAGTTACATCAGTTGTTTAACAGATTACAGCAGTTGTTTGGCCGAGTTACACCAGCGCGGAGGCGTTGATGGTGTCGGACCGCTCACATCAATCACCGATCACCGCGGCGAACTGCACGGTCGATAGCTCGCGCTCTCACTCACGTGACGGCTCTCCTTGCAAACATGACGCCACACCTGACGGGTCGAGTCAACAGAACCCGCGGGGCACCCGGACGCGGCCGGCGCTACCAACGGTAATATTAGGCCGCGCCGGGGCGAACACCGCGTCCGACGAACTGGAAAGTTTGTTTGAGATGTTCAACACCACTGGGTAAACTCACACGGCCCTAGCCAAAAGCGGAGCGGGGCGTCACCACTCACCCCGGGGTTCTGTTGGTTACTAATCGAACTTGCTAAGCAAGTTATGAGAAAGACAAATGCAAGATCCTGCTCCTCACCCAGGGTCTATAATGGTAGCCGATTGCCGCGGCGACTCATCCTCGCATCCGCAAACAAACAAGCAACAAACTGTAGCGATATCAGTCCAGGCATTGCGCAGCATGGCGCTTCCTGCTTTCCAGATGACAACTCCGCGATGCCCGGCACGCACCAGAGTCAGAGAGACAGAGAGTACCCCTCAGCTGCAGACGACCGGTACAGGGACCCGCAGTTGCTTCTGTACACACTAGTATTTCAGAGTATTGTTGGCCTGTGACACCGTTGGAGGCGATTTGGGGAGTGATTGTAGGCTTGTTGAAACCGCCGTTTGAAAGGCTTCAAATTGATATAATGGTCTCCTAACTTAATCATCTTTTTATGGTTGTATCGGCAAAACATTGTTTTTAGTGCTATTTCCTGCCCCACTCCTTCTGAAATCTGGAACCGCTTATTGCATTCACTCCTGCCATCTAACGATGGTCGTGCTAGTTACTAGTTCCGGCGCTAGTTTCTGCTCCAGTTTTGCACCCGGCACAAACTCAAGCGGCGCCGTGGCTCGACCGGTGAGGATCGGACCGAGCCGACTGCCTGGGGCGCGGTTGGGTCGCAGGCACAGCTGGAGAAGGGGACGGGAGCGGGGGGAAGGGAGGAGGTGGTCACGTGGTCCGTCCAAGCTCGCGCACGACCTGTCCCAACTGAAGCGAACGCTCCGAAAGTGAACTTCAGCTGCAGTCCTAGAACAGGTTTTGTGGAGGTAGATGAATATTGCCTTGATGCCGAAAAAGATGGTCGGTATGCCTAAGCCTAATCGAGCCTATAGCTCGATTAGGATATAGGCCTCTAATCGAGCTATAGCTCGATTTATGGAGCTTTGCGGAAATACGAGCGTGTTGCCTGTGACGAGAGGAAGCCGATGATACCCCATTTCAAGGTCCCAGGTCATTGGTTGACCTTGCAGGCCACGACAATGACTCAAAAGTCGGGAAAATCGGGACCTGTCAGAGCTTCGTAAAGTGAGGCTTCGCAGAGTGAGGTTAAGTTTTTCAGGATTCTTATCACGAATTTTATGTATAAACATACTTTTTTATTTTGGGGGATCGAAATCCTAAAATTTCAAAAATCCGAGAAAGCCGTTTTATAGCCCCGCTAATTATACGCCTTTTATGTCTTGAACATTTTTTTGTATCTTCAAAGCTATAGACCTGACAGCTTTTCTCGTGAAACCCTTTTATTGTCGAAAATGGCAGAACATGACGTCATTCTGACGTCATTTGCGGCTAACCTATCATAGCCTCTGGATTTTTTTTATCTCAATGTGTAAAATTGATGCCCGGAGGGTTCAATGCCTCGGAGGGTTCAGTGAAAGTTTGGTGACGACATCTGCAGTCGTTTAGGAGATATCGAGGGAAAAGGACAGAGGGGAGGGCCGTTTCGCACCCCCCCCCCCCTGCGTGTTAACCCAGACCTCAGCCTCATGGGACCAGTCAACTGATTTATCCTGCAAAACCCGGTCTACCTAGTCCCTAATACACCGCAAATGACATACGGCGCAGCATCGTTCTAGCATGGGTGATCGAGAAAAATAAGAGAAAAGGTGGGCGCGTGCCATAGTGCCCTCGCGTCTCGGGCCCGTAACATAAGAAGGCGAGCATACAGAAAACGGACTACATTGTTTTGTTGGGAGATGACGTTGTTATATGTATGTAAAAGGTGGCATAGCTGTGTCAGTTCGCCTTGAAACAACGTGAAATTTTCGCCATGGGTAAATCTATATGGCTCACCCTGTACGTAAAAAAATATTTGCTGATTTATTACGATAGATGAAATAAATATCAACCACCGCATACATTAGAGAGGTCCGTAGGACCCCCTCCCCGTTTTTTTTTTTCTCACAAATAACTCGCGGGAAAAACTACGGATCGCAAAGATACTTTACCGCCCAGGAGATAATCAATTTGATAGCTTTTGCCAAGTTGTCAATAGAAAAACACAATTCTAACGAATAGTATTTCAACTATTGACAACAAACCTTCGGTTACCACTTCCCTGAACATTGAATAGCCTTTTTCAGTTTTGCACGTTTCCTGAGGATAAATTATCGCTGAGCCAAATGACCTTTGACCTGTGACTTTTGCTCGAGGTCATGTCAGGCCCGAATAGCAATTCAACGTCAATCAGCGCACATCCTTTGTGCGTTTTAATGCTTTTTGTAATGGAGGATGTGCCAACATATGAAATATACTACATTATGTTTGTCCCATGGATCATGGTAGTGCCAAGGTCACGTGAAGGGCAGGTTAAGGTCATGACTTTGGTTAATATGGTAATAAACTTTGGTTAAAAGTTAACACGTTTTTAGTGAGGTTTCCAGTGCCAGTTTGAAATTTAGCATTCCTTTTAGCATTTGAGAACCATAATGCCTATGTTATCAGCTATGGTGCCTATGCAAAATGTTGCGAGGTTATTAATGGTGGTTAACTCCTATGAATAGCCGACGACGGGACCCCTCCTTGATGACCTGACGAGACCCGACCTACCCGATTTTTGTTTTTTTTTTTTTTGCTACATCATCTTTGATTAAAACAAATGCAAAATTGGAAGTCAGAAGCAAACAAACCTCCATTAAACCTCACTTGAAGAAATGGTAGCAGGACCAGATGTCCCGTGCATTTGGATCACTAGCCCGGCCTACAATATAGAACGGCCTATAGGTATAGAAGTGCAAGCCGATAGTATCTAAAAAAAGATACTATCGGCTTTCTCTCGTCACGAGCAGAACGCTCATAAAATTATGATCATAATTTTTTCTTTTTCCGTGAAGCTCTATATTTCTATCAGAGGCCGAACGACTGGGGTTTCTACGCCCCCCCCCCCCCCCAAATACGTAAGACGCTGAAAAAGTGCCAAAACGGGCGATGGTTGAATATCTATTGGCGTTTAAGTGCCGAAACACGAAATTTTCCTCCGATAGCAGTTTCTCACAGACCATCGAGCAAAAATACAATAACTACTTGCACAACATAAGCATCAATTAAAATAAATTCATCTTGGGAGAAGCCTCTCAAGATTGAGGAGCTATGAGAAGCTTATTTGCACAACAACAACAACAAAAATAGTTGGCTTGAACTCTACTGCTCGCGGTTCGAACTGTTGTAGGTGTGGCTGTGACACTATTCGCTACATCTCGTGACGATCAGCATTATGTTGCATTTGTTTTCGTTAAGCTATAGCTTAAAAAGGAGAGAATTCGTGAGTGGGTTCAAAACAACCCTCACTTGCCCCCTCCCCGTTGTCTGGAAACATAGGTAACCGAAAGGTTTGGCGATGGTTTATCCAGCTCTTCTGCCGCAATGAGGCCTCGATTCGTTCGGTATGTGGAATCCTGAGCGGTCCTCCCCGGAGGCAAGGTGAAAGGTCATGGCCTGTATCACAAATTTGTACGCTCCTCAGTATGTTTTACAATCTTTCCAGGACCTTGTATACCGTTTTATTACATCCGATAAGCATTGCAATTTCTTGCTCAACAATGACTTTAAAGAAAACTTTATCTTTAACTTATACTGCGGCGTTGGTCGCCTTGCCTACGCCAGTCTTTTTATGATACGGGCCACAGCCACCTCCACTGCGCTGGAGCTCTGGCGTTTTACCCCTCCCCGCTACGGACCGGCCCCCGGGCCAGGTGTGTTAGTACTGAGCGCAAACGCGTAGTAGTCACGTGACTTTCATTCACGTAGAGGGAGCGTAAGCAAGTGGCGATACCAAGGACGGGACCTAGGGAGGCAGCCAGCACAGAAAAATAGCGCGATTTTAGTTTTGGAAGAATATCTATGACGGTAAGAGGAATTATGCATAATCTTCATCCTAGAAGGAAACATGTGTTATTCCTTTATACTTTGCGCTACATTTTCTTTCTCCAATGGCCACCAGCTAGCAAATAATAGGACAATCGTAAGTCGGTAATATATGTGTACATAAGCAACTGCGGGTCCCTGTACATCGGAGTTGCTTCCGGCGCGGCGCTGCTGTCTCGCCATGAGACGTGACCAGTGTGCCGGACGCGCCGGCCTTCCTGTCCAGGTGCCGTTGATGAGGAGAGCACGCCGTTCCCGATGCCGGACACAGCGTGCTGATGAGACGGACACGCCGGCCGCAGGTGGCTCAATCCGGAGCTGGCGGTCACCAGCCGGACACAACCGGTACGAGCGTGACACGTCCAGGCCGACGCCATGAAGAGATTGACACCTCCGACCCTTCCGGCCGGGGGCAGTGGAGCGTGGAGTCGGGAGCGTGCCGAACGCGGGTGCCTCTTGGAGAGCCCACTGCGCCACCAGTTCACACCCACCGACTCATGATCGGTCGCCGGAAACAGCCCCAGACAGGGCTCATCGGTCACCGCGCCTCCGCTGTCGGTGTGACAAGCCCCGCCGCGCAGCGCGATTGGACGATGAATGACCTGCATCGAGATGCAAATGTATGCACCGCCCGCGGCCACCTGCGCCCTCTGAGCCTTCCGGAGGAGAGCGACGGTGTTGGCCGCCCGGCCGATTGGTTTATTGCCACACACGGTGTCGGCGGAGCTATCTGATGGGCCGGGTGAAGCGGTACCACGGCGCTCGCCTCCTCATGAATGCCGTCGGCGGCGATTAGCATGCGGCCGATGACGTCTGCGGTGCGTCAGCGACCCGTCCGCAGCGGCGGGACACGGGCCGGCCCTGTGCGCCGGCCGGCCGCTCATTGCCAGTCGGCCGGCCGCTGCAGATGACCAGCGGCCGCCTGTTTTCTTTTCGTGTCATGCCCGATAAGCGGGGTACTTTGAATGTAGTCGCTGTGTATGCATATGATTAGTGCAGCTGTGCCCTTCCTTACGGCGAAGTAGTCGCTAAGTCGTAGGAACTTTGAGCGTCGTCCGTTTTCTTCTATGGCATCAAATCTACATAGCCATGTACCGATTAACTGATTGAGATTCGACATCATCACTGACAGGGGTCTCTTTTGTTGCAGAGGGTCTCTCGCTGTTCCGGAGTTTTCTGGTACAAGAGTTCTCTGAGGAGAACCTCGACTTCTGGCTGGCCGTTGAGGAGTACAAGCAGGCCAAACATCTGAACCTGACTGCCTCGGCGCACCAGATCTATGATGAATTCGTCGCGCCAACCGCCCCCAGACAGGTGAGCTTCAAATGCATTCAACTATGCACTGTCCATATTCAACGTCTGATCATTATGCCTCTGACGCACATCCGCCATTTGAGGATGAGGGCAAACGCGTAGCCAATATCCACTCAGCATAACATTCAGGATATTATGAAACATAACAGCTCTCTTTAATTACATAAAGTATCGAAAAGCCTACCTGTGCTGCAACTCATCATCCGTCTCGCATAGAGATAGTCGCATTCAGTGATCGAACGTTGTTGCGGCGGCGCCATTTCACGCCGCGCCGGTGACGTCAGGCCGTGACACGGCTGGCCCGCTGACGTCACGCGCGGCCGCCGCGCCGGCCCGTCTGTGCAGCCGAGGTCAGCGCGACACGTCACAATGGGCTCTAACAGCGCTCTCTCTCCCTGCCGACAGGTGAACGTGGACTCGAAGACTCGCACCGCCGTCAAGGAAGGTCTCTCCAGTCCGACCACCGAGTTGTTCGACCGGGCGCAGCGGCGGGTCCAGATCCTGATGGAGAACGACACGTACGGCAGGTTCCTGCTCTCGGCTCCCTACCTGGCGCTGGTGGACGGCAAGGAGCTCCCCCAGGGTGTCAGAAGTTGAGCGGCGCCGCCACAGACAAACTGTCGGTGATTGACATGGCCGGAGATCGGCGGTGTGGGACTGCGCCCAGTAACGACCACTCTGTGATCACGAGGCCCACACCGATCCGGCGGTCGGCGGCTGTTGCCAGGCCCGGCACGGAGAGAACAGCGGCCTTGGGGCTCCGTGGCTGAGCGGGATATGGCCCGGCGCCGAATGCAGAGCCAACCCTGCACAGGCGCCTCCGGAAACGGGGCACCAGGGAAATGAGGCAGCCGGTCGAGATGAAAAATGGCTGCGCATTTCATCCCCGGTGAAAACATTCCGGTCATCCTGGATCAGGTGGCAGGGCCGGACTTTGCAACGGATGGTGTTCCGACACGAAGTCGGACGGCGCTTGCTCGCAAGTGGCTGAGCACGCCCTCGTTTACTCTTACTTGATCGGTGTGTCCGTATTATCGGTCGCCCAAGATGGCAACAGTGACAGCTATTTGGATCATCGAATGGGTCATTTGTCTGGGCACCTGCGTTTTTGATAAGTGCTGTTATTCAGTTACCCATCATTTGACTAATATCTATCATTGTAACTTATGAGTGGCTCGGCCTCGTTCAGTGTCATTATGCCCTAAAACTTGGTTCAACCAAACAGTTGTACTTGGTTTAACTAAGTTTCTAGTCACTGCATCTCAGGTATTTGTTTCAAAGGCAATTTTCATCTTTGTCATTCATCATCACCATCGTCATCTTCATCATGAGTTGCCCGAAAGGGACATTTTGTATTTATCAATGTCTACTATGTTTATCTTGCGCCCAACTAAATGAATTAAGCACCGCAAAATTCAACAAAGAAAATGTCATGGAAATGGCAAAGACGGCTGGCGATAGCTTTTTGTCAGCTTTGTTGACTGTCGATTGTGTTGATTTTAGTTATCACGTCGGAACGGGTGCGTTGACTTGAGCAGTGTTGTCTGCCTTGCGGTTATCAGATCTCCTGAAGTTATAAGACATGTCGTGCATAACGACTTACGCGTGTTGTTTGTAACTGGCGAACAAATACTGCGTCACCTCGCCTGCCTACGTGAGCAAACAGCCCCTCAGAGTCTGTGGGTGGCTGCTCAATGCTCACCATATGATTGTATTCGACATGCGTGTACTTATTATAGGTAGTCTTGCCTGTACCTGTGACAATATATATGAATATGTGATACCTAACGGCTTTGTTTGAAGCATGCAAAATGTATACATGGCACACAGACACTAGAAAATAACACATAACAAAGACCGTTCAAAGCAAAGCAATGGAAAGTGTGTAGCTACAGAGGGAAAGCTTTAGAAAGTGTCGCGATGCTACGACTCAGAGCGAGACAAAATAAAAGAAGGCCAGCACTTTAGGTATAGCTTTTTAGCACGACTATTGCGTTCAGAGCTAAAAACAAAAAAAAATCGGTGGCTATCCCGACAGATGAACAAAAACAGAGAAAGTCATCTTCTGTCTTCTACATAGCGTAAGTAACAGTGCAGTGGTGAGAGGTGTAACATGCAGAGGGAGCATTGCTTAACCTCGGCTCCAGCCTCTCAAAGACTGTGACATCGGATGTGACAACGAATCTGTCTGTTTGGTCTGTCTTGTCGACAGACCAAGAAGACCACACGAGCAGATACCATACATACCTAATAACAAAACAAGTTCACAAGCATATGAATATTGTCATACAAAATAAACATTCTACCGGCAAATTACAGCACAACACCTGCACAATACCAGCTAAAAAGACAAAAAGTAACTACACAGATTTAGCCCACCGGATACCTATCAGACGCAAATGCAGCCTTTTAGTTTGGCTCTATCTCTAAGGAAAGCATCAGCTCAGCTCCGTTACTTAACGCAAGTGCCTGAAATTCACCGAAAACGTTATTACGGTTAAAATGTCCATTTTCCTCGGCCTTTCCCGGGTCGGCCGGCGGCAAATGGCGCTCGCCTCAAAAGGCGGATCAGATTACAGCGAAGGTCTGTAGCATCGGAGGCGTAATCGCTACGCAACGCTGCTCTAGGTTCGCTGAGCTATCGTCAACGTACTGAAACGACTCTGAGAAATGGTGGGCTTTCGCCACCTCATATCTAAGCAGTACGGCCTCTGAGAAACTTCTTCGGATCTTACTGAGCAAATAGAGAAGCAGAAATGCCATTGGGGTAAGCTTTCACTGACGTGCATTTCACTGACATGCATTTGTGCAAAAATGTGTGCGTGCACGGCTTGACATGGTATTATGTGTTCACAAATATGCACAGGGGGGACCTAAGGCAGTGGAATGAGTCATGGCTCACGAAGACAGCTGGCTAGCCCTTGCCCCCCGTACAGGAAAGGAGTTAGCCCGCGCCGGGCGGGAGGAGTTTAGACACGCCATGCGGTTTTACGCAAATATCACAAAAACGACGGCGCTCCACGACGCCGTTTTCGGTACACCTCTTCATGCACTTTGTTGTACACGTTGAGAAAATTTCAGAGCAAAGTTGCTCAATAGCAGGTCACCATGTCACGTCGAGTTATTTTCCCTAGAAAAAGTTATAATGCTTGCCATTGCTACACTGACTGCACGATCGCTTTGAAATTTGTGTGGTTGATAAAAGCAGCCGTATGCAAAACATGTAACTCACGGAATTTCGATATCGGTGTCCTGAGCTATGCGCCGATTTGTCAAAAAGTGTAGAGATGGGCGCAGTGTGACCTCTGATGACTTTTGGTGATATCGACATTTCACATGACCAGTTAGAGTTGACCGAAGTACCATCTTCGTGATTTTTGACGATCTTTTGTTTCGACCACCGTCCACCGCTTACCGGGTTTCGCTTCTTGGCCCAAGAGCCGAGTTAGACGGGGGTTTTAAACAGCGCCCCCCCCCCTCTCTCCCGACCCGGCGCGGTTGGCACCGAGCACTGACCCCGTGCGGGTTAAAAGAATTGTGTTATTATATGGTGTTCGTTTTGAAAAGGTACAGAGTATCTGAATGTCGGCGAAAATTGTTACCAAATATTTCCTGACCTAGGTTGTAGCCAACTGGCCTTATTATCATATGGCCTTATTGTCATATACCAATTTGTTTTCTTTTTTTTTGTTATAAGGAATATGGATGTCTTTTTGCGCGGCTTAACGTCTGTTGCAAGCAAATGCAGAGCAACAAGGGCGTACTAACGCAACGGGAAGCGTTCCCGAACGCCTCCATAATTGTGGAAAGGTCCTGGCCAGGCCGGGTTAAGCGAAGATAGCTCACAAGAGACGTTTTGTTACATGTATGCAGACATAAAAGACAAAAAATACACATTGGCACGGATTGAGTTGTTTATTTACATACACACAACATATACATGTCTACATTGTGGCTTTTCAGTTGAACTGAAAATAGGTAAGAGGCAAATTACATAAGCAAGGATGAGAATATGATAAGGGAAGGAAATAGTTGAGAATTGTGCACGGCTGCGAGAGCTGCTGTCCAATTGGTGCTGCGCACATCTGCAGCCTGGCAAGGAGAAGGATAAGTTTGAGGATAGCACCGGATCCTGGGTCCATAGGAAATGAAAACTACTACAGACTGTTATTAGAAACTGCCATATCTAAAAATTGGAAACTGATAGTTATAACACTTCTACAACGCTTTGAACGGCAGAACATATACAAGTGAAGCAAATAACCACAAATCATTTGCATAACCACATAGATATATAAGCAAATGCTTCGGAAGCCGCTCGAAGAAGATGATCTACTGATCACGCATAGGATTACACTTACTTTCACAGCGTAGGTGGGCAAGGCAGCTTTTCTTACACTTCCTGTATGCAGTTCCGCTACTCCATTGTTTAATTGCAATTAGGAAGAATACATGTGTCGCTCTACCGCACAAAAGGTCAAAATACTTAAAAACAGCATTACATTTGATTCGAAGATAAGCCATCCCAAGCCGTTTCGTCAGGTTGCAATTATAATGATAACTTGCATAAGACGGGTAACAGAGATGGGCTAGAAATAAATAAGAGGGGTAACATGAGATGCATATCAACTTTACTTCCTGCAAACAACCGTCTGTGCCGGTCCTAGTCACCGGCTAAATAGCTCTGCCTGACGCGGCAGCGGTCAAGCCCGTCATTGCGGGGCGCTGGCCGAGCCTCCCCCCCCCCCGTGCAAGGTCAGGGCGTTTGGCGCTGCTGTCGGCATGTCAGATCTATCCCTGTATGGTTTCAGTGCCCCCGTATGGTGTTTGGGCCAATCTGGACGGCCGTTCTGGCACACAGTGCGCAGTAAGAGGGGTGGAGCAGCGGGTTAGGTGGACCCGAACACAGCGCCCACTGCGCAGCAGTAAGGGGTAGAGCCACGCGGATATCATCAACACGGCGGACTGGACCTGTCGCACATACAGCACACAGTGGTATATGGACGTGAAGATGGAGCCGCCACTGGCCGCACTGGGCATGCAATGGTCAGGACTGACCGAACTGCCCTAAAATAATACACAGGAACAGAAACTGGCCACGCCGCGCCGCGGTTGAGTCGATCAGGGGAGGAGGGCCGATAGGGGTCTGAGGATAGCGGTATCGAGTGACAGACACAGCGGCTCAGACCGCCCAAGTCCCGCCTTCCGGTCGAAGTCGTTGTTGCATTCGTGCAGTGCTGGCGCAGTTTATTTATCATGTTATATCTCTCCAAGGCATCCACTGTCGGAGGTAGTAAAATATTGGAAACGGGCAGGTCAATCAACGGTGAGCTTATTTGTTATTTTTCTGATTGGTGAAATAAGACTGGGCAATGTTTACAGACATTCTCATTTCATCGTATGGCGCACGGCAGGTATGCATACAGCTAATATATATTCAGGACATTGCCGTAAGCAGGAGGCCACGCTCATATCAACGCAACCATCTGGTAAACCATTTGCACCATGTGTACTAGTTATATTTCGCTAAATGTATGCCCAAATTTAATTTGCATGACAAAACATTGAAATGTCGGTTTAGAGGCTAGGTATGTGTAACGTATCTGAAAACAGAGGGCACGATTAATGCTTCAGGAACGCAACAAAGCATGTCAATTGTCAGGGTTCATTATCGAATACCTGTGTATCAATAAGCATATTCAAATTGCCAGTGAAACAGACTCAGGACTCTTATATTCCTCTGATGGATAATGCATTGCAGAAATGCTTCAAACACATGCAGACTGCATTTAGTAGGAGACTATCTCCAATGAAATCTGGATTGGTTGAGGTAGCTCCGAGTGTGTTGCCAAGGGCAGACATTCCAGATAACATGTCAGGTCACCGGTCGATGGTTAATAGCTGCAAAAGTCAGTGCGCCCCGGAGTATCGCTTCCACGAGTGCCTAAGAGCGTTCCACGGTTGTGTCCGACAGAGCTCCCAAGAGGCCATGCCATCTGCCCGCTACTGGTGACAGATAACATCAGCAAGATACATTGACGGAGGTAAATCCCTTGCGTTCCTCCCAAGATCAGCGAAAAGCCTATCAAAATACCTGGCAGCTGAGGAGAGATTGCGGTTTATTCACAACATGGGACATTTACCTGGGTATGCTCGGTAACTGAGAGAACGATAGTGGCTTACCTGTATGGATTGCACGGGAGCACCCGCGTGCTCTGCTGCTGTGAAGGTAATGAAAGCTAGCGGCACATTTATCTGCACTCTCCACGTCTGCGCCAAAAATATCTGGCGGAATTTCCACGAAAATATTTTGATCAATAAGCCATCCCATTACGTTCACGTCTATTTCGTTCGGGTGTGGCTGTAATTCGGTGGAAATCTGGGGGACATCATGATACAACAATGAAATAAGATATACCGGACGCAATACGCTAAACATTACTGAACAGAAATTTGATACGCTTGGTCAGATTTCCTTGCAGCATATGAGTCGTTGTGTCCGGGTGAGCAAACCGTCCGCTGTCGACTCTGATTCATAATGCCATAAAAGACTATAGTCCAAACTGAAGCTATGTCATTCTCTGCTAAGATACGGCATTTTGTGCCTTTTATGCTCGTGCTACCTATATCATTCCACTGTAAAAAAAGCTTCACAAAATACTGAAGCTTTACAAAGTATTGGCCTATTGAAGTCAGAGTTTGATTGAAATGGTTAAAACCTTCCAGTTGCAGTGATGTTTCGCCATCCACCACTTGCTGAGTTTATCTCCGTGTGTCGATAAGGGTTGTTGTTTATGCCTCACTCGTATTGGCCTTTCTATAGCACCTAACGTGTAAGAGGGAGCTCCGTAAGACCTTCCCCCTCCCCCCTCAGGCGTTCGGACCCTGATCGAGCTAGGGGCTAGAGCTTTGCAAAAAAATGTGCACGGATAAAATAAAATAAACAACATAATATTTGTTTCTTCATAATTGTTTTTTTTTGTGATTTGAAATCAACGTTTCCGTTTTCTATAATTACCCGTAAAAACAAGTGTTGACAATTGACATGAAACAGTAATTTGTAGAACGCTTGATAATTCACGGCAACTGCGCAAATCTGTTTAGTTACGGAGGTGCAAACAATTCCGGTTGTGGAGTTGTGAAACGTCTTAATTTGCGCTCCGTAGGTAGTTTGAAAGGGTGTTAATTACGGAAGGTTGTTAGTTACGACAGAGTTTTATGAAACGAGGCCCAGTTGTTCTTGCAGGTCAGGTCAATAACCCAAATGTCCGGAAAATCGAGACCTGCTAGCTCTTCTTGAGATGAGGTTGAGGTAGATCAGGTCACGTAAGGTCTCAGCCATCAGGCGTTCCGCAGGCTATCCATAGTAGGTGTCAACTACAATGGATGGCCACCAGACTAACCACCACTGGCAGCTTCGCAATATGCTGCATGAGCACTTATGAATTACCTTGAGCTGACCTTCACATGACCTTGACACTCCATACAATGCATGGGAAAACTATAATTTCACATGCTGGCACATTTATTAGAGTCTGCAAACGCATAACCGGTTTCACGACGGGTTATCTGGCGAACAGTGGCGGATCCAGGGGAGGGCAAATAGGGCAATTGCCCCTCCCCAAACGGCATAATTTTAACAGCACGCCTATGTACAGTGCATGGAGAGAACCACGAAATTGTCCCTCCCAAAACTCGGAGCTGGATCCGCCAGTGCTGGCGAATGCACCAAACTTAACCAAATTATCTGCACCAAATTTCTTTTCCAACAAAAATCCTTCATATCGTGAGCAAATTTCAGTACTTAAATGAAAACATTGTCTAATACTTTCGGAAAAATCAGGCATACCTATATGCAGCTGTGCGACCTCAACTGATGCCCTCTAAGAAACACAATGAACCTAATACGACTAAATCTACGCCAAATATGTACCAAATCTGCACCAAATGTTAGCCAGATGGCCGTCGTGAAAACGGCTAATTTGCACCGACATGCGTCAAAACACCATTCCGGCCTGAAATGTTCTCGAAAAAGGTCACAGGTCAAGGGTTGTTGGGGTCAGGACATGAAATTTTACAAATGGTGTAAATAACCTGATTAAATAACCTCATGGCAGTCAAAATTTCGTCGCAATCCGAAGCTTTTTACGCAAATTATTTGGTTAAAAAAAAAATGATAAAACATTCAGTGTCGAACTTTCATCCCTAATATGATCCTGTACCTAAAGCCTACTTTAAAAGATTGGATGAGTCGCTTCATTAAATAGACAGTAATAGTTCTAATTTAATCAATAAAAACTGGTAGATTTTTGTGCAGACTATGGTTGGTTCCTCTGCTAAAGGGAGAGCTGTAAACTTTACATGTATACTTATTTACATTAAATTACTTCTGTCTACATATCACATAACCTGCTTCGAGCTTCGTTGTACGAACTCCAAGGGCACAAAATACCTCGGTATTCAAAACTGTTAATGTAAAATGCAGTTATTGACGACTCACTAAGCCCACCTTGTGTTTTGTGCGTATCTCAAGATTAATTGCATTTAATGCAATCTCGGAACGGGTGGCGTCAGCCAGACCCGGTTGCGTACTGACGTCATAGGTCTTACCCTATACCAGGCCATGACGCTGGATGTCTCATTACCTCACTAATATGCTGTTCTCTGTTATCTGGATCGTTTTCCAGAACCGATGGCATAACTTCTACATTAGTCTCAGTCAATAGCGCACAGCTGGTCGCTAAGGGAAGCCTGCTGCTGGTAAACGGCATAGAATTTACGTCAAACCGTGGCTGGTGATGAACAAAAACTCACATTAGGCTACTTAGCTGTCATCCAATAATCCGGAAAGGGTTCGAAACAGCTATAGATTTCAGTGAGGGACGCGCTTGGAGGCGCGTCATTGCATTGCGTAAGCACCTCAATGATTACCTGCGCTCTACGTCGTTGGCCCCGGTATGTCCCGTTTATAGTGCGCCCGGAGGGGACCCGTACCGAGTACACGGTGGAGAATGAAACAAAACCCAAACAGTACCGAATAATCATCGATAGAAGCTTATTACGTGTGTATTCTCAATTAATTAACGTAAATCACCAACAAGTAGAGCCCCAATGACAGGCGAACTCAGTCAACGTGCAAATGTACAATGCCCAAAAACATTGTAGGTATATAATTATTATAGCGACAATTTTACTGAACGACTGATTTAGCAGAACTCGGTAGGCAAAGCTCGCTTTCAACGCACTTAGGTCCAGCGGATAGGATAAAGCCCCGCAACTTTTCAATATTTTTATATCGGCTAATTGCAACATCAGCGCCTAACACCTACATAATGTAATTTTCCATTTAGTTCTGATCTGTTGCTGAATTTCCGTGATCCTGAACCGCATACCTACTTTTAGCGTGCTGTGTCCTCTTTACCAACGCCATGTCAGGCTAAAAGGTCATTCATGGTATACCCGTATGTAAACAAGTGAAATGCCGTCTCGTCTATGTGAATCTCACGGTTACGTGGATCAGGATGTCGGTCGAGGTTACTGTTTTTTGATATCCGCAGCCCTGGAATCGCCTATGGGGAAACGTTTGTTTGTGGTTTCCCCTTGGCCCTGGCAAACAACTCTTTCTTACAACTGATAAGCACTAAGGGCTATCAAATAGTAAAACGATTCACAAATACTTTGCCAAATAAACGTATACGTTTTAGAGGTGCCCCTGGCCCTGTGAGGGCAGATGTGACAGAACTTTGTGTTGCATGTCATTATACATAACTAGTCTCCGTTGCGAATCACTCACAAAAAAATGAGGGCATCCCAAAAGTAACCCCTGGAGCCGCCGCTGTTTATGCATTCGTTTTTAGACATTGACAAAAACACGAGGGAGCGTAATGCCCACTGCCGCTTACAGGATTCAAGGCCGACAGGCCGCCCGAGGGTTCAAACGACCTTTTAATGAAACCGCTCCACAACATCAATGCCGTTCAAATGTTAATTTCAACCGTCCAGCATTGCTAGCTTAATTTTGCAACAGTGCAGGCAAACTTTTTAATATTGCGTTCGCTGATATGTCCCTACCTTAGTAGCAATGACGTTTGTTTGTTTTGTTGGGTTAGGCTCTTTCGGTCTAGCGACACCATTTCCGAGCCGGAAGGATGATATGAATTAGAGGGAGACATTGGTCTGGGCGGGCACCCTGGTGACACGTCAGGCCTGAGCCCATCACGAGGACAGGCCACCTGCAGCCCCCTGACAGTTACTGCACCCGGCTTCGCGTCTGCTCCCAGGGGAGCTAGAGCTACTCGCATGGGATAAAGTTGCCCGTCCAGCCCAGGACAGAGGGTGGAGGCATGGAGGAGAAGGATTTGACTATATTGAGGATGGAAACGACGGAACGGAGGAACAATGACGGGAGGACTTCAGATTCACGGGAATCTGGTGTCTTTCATCCTTGGCCACGCTAGGGTGTCTAGTAGTGGACACTCTGTGAGCCTGTGAATGATATTTTCAGCAACTATGTCCTCATTGAAATCTAACTCTGGCCTCGAGCCTAGGTCTCATGGAGCGACCAGTAAATACTCGTTCCAAATCAGAATATCAGAATATCCCTGCTCGGTCGCTAGTCATCAGCGCCACTTCTGCCACAAGCAGCGCCACCTGTGTTTGTAGATGGCGTCACATGTCAGAAGCTCCATGCTGAGTCAACGGAGAGTGTGTTACCGTGAAGCAGCGCCCTCACCGATGCCCACTGCACAGTGCACAAGTATCCCTGGAGCTAATTAGATTCGGTTCAAAGGTTAAGCACAGCCGCCAGTTCGGTACCTCAACTCCTTTTACACTGAGAATATCCGCCATCCGTATCGAACCTTGAAATGGAAATTATCATGACAAGGTACAGCCAAACTACGAATGCCTGCGAGCAACTCTCCAACTGTGTAGATCCAAAATATATTCCCAACTATCTTATTTCCTGTTTCATATTAAAAGCAGTGAAGCTAGCATCTATACATCAATACAGTAGCAACAATACAGTGGGTGGCCGGAATGATATAATTGATTTTACTCTCAGCCTGCGCTCGGCTGAGCCTGCAGCCGAATGCAAATGACTTAAGGGGGGGGGGGGGCTTTGCCTCCCCCAGATTGTCACCGACGGCGACACTAAGCATCGCAGCGAGCCGCACGAGGCAACGTTGAAAAGATCTCGCCTATTCGCAGCTGAAAGAATCCTGAAATTGACATTTTGAAACCACGTGCCGGGTCACGGTTCTAGGTCAAATGCCAAAATGGAACATATTCACATTTAGCGAACGCAGTGTCCAAGACATCCACTGGCGGATCCAGAGAAGCGATCTTAGACGTTGCGGGATGAGGGCTACCCATCCCCCCACCCCCACATGTCGTGATTTCTGAAACCAAGCTGCGCTGTGCCTATTAGCTGGCCTCTGAACAGTCACCCCTGCAGCTCTGTCTGTGTGTTCCGTCTGAGCCGTCCCGACTACCGGGACGACACGTGGCGCTCGCGTCTTGGCACCACCCACCGACCTGCACCCGGCGCGGCCGCGGTAGGCAGAGCACCCGCCCAGTGCAGCTTCCAGTGCCGCGCCGCCGTGTGTGCTCTTCGCCGAGTGTGTGTGTGTGCACCTTTGAGCAGTGACCTGAAGCTGGACAGTGTGTGTTCCTGCGCGAGTTTAGAGTGGCACAGCGCGGCGCCAGAGCCGAAAAGTAGAGAAGAGCACTGCTCAGTGATCCTTCCTTACAACCAAGTGTGACGGGCCGTAAGGAAGAGTGGTTATCGCCGTCTGTAACTTTCGTTGGCAGTGACTATTTCAATTGATTTATTTCACTGGCACCAGACAAGCTTGTTTCTGCGAAATGGAATGCAACTAGTAAATTTCTAATTTCGTAATCTCGTCAGCAGCTCGCCATCGTCTCAACAGGTTCAGCTTTAGATCAGGTGAGAAATCTACCGGTGTGTAACCCTGATGAATCAATGTGATGACCCTCATCTGACGTCTAAAGGAGAATCTAACTGGAAAACCAGCAAACGCACCTTTGTAGTTTGCGATTTCATACTGGTTGAATTCCTTTTCCAACTCTGCCCAAGTAAAAAACGTAACACAGAATGAATCAGTCACAGCCAGCCTGTCCTAGCACTAGCACACACTGAACTATAGTATCAACCGTCCTTTTGTCTGTCATAACCCACCACCGCCTGTTATTCGCCCATCAGTCCCCCCCCTCACCCCGCCCCTGCAGTGTGTCACTTGACCCGTCAACCCTCTCCTGGCAGCCCTCCCTCCCGCTCCACCCGTCGCTCCGGTCCGACCAGACCCACCGGTGACCGCCGCTCTGACCGGTCGGCTCGTGCACACTGCACCGTGCACGACCTGCGGCGCACGGTGCATAGAGAGCACGGCCGGTCAGCTGACCCGGCCGTACCGAACTGAGCCACACGCCGGCCAGCACGGCGGGTGGCTGAGGAACCAGCGCCGGGTGGGCTGCCAGCGGCTGGGGCTGCCACTAGCAGACGGACTAGGACGAGATGGCTCCAAAACACCACAGCATCCCGGTCAGACTATGGCGTGAAGCCTAGTCGCAACAGACTTCGCACAGGGTCGGTGGGGTGACGGTAGGTCACGCTCATCGGACATCGCCATCATCATCTGCAGGTACAGTCCACAGCAGAAGTAATGTGAGGTTTCAGTCATGGGTATGTTCTGCTTCTGAAGCTTAGGAACGATTAACCAGACTACAACGAAACTTTGAATGTAGCTTATATGTATCGTCACTCTTGCAGCTGCAACTTTAGCTATTAACATCTTCTTTTCGATCATTCCGCATTAAACAATCGCCAGTCAAAGCCAACCGTTGAGATTGGTAAAACCCTACATTACTTTAGCGGTGGGCTGTACCATTGAACTACAAATACAAGAGGCATGCCTCACATCATCACTAGCTCTCATCTCATCACTTCATTTTAAACGTGAAGCGTTGTAATGAGATGGGAGGGCCAGAGACCTGCCGGCAGGGAACGGCACTGAATGCTAATAAAGCTGTTCCAGTTTTCCTTCTGCTGGTATCTCATTCAGCTGCAGCACGGCCGGTACCGAGGGATGCAGCGGCGGACCTCGCTCAACACGACAGCAGGGTCCACGTGTTCCCTGTCAGGGCCAGGGATCAGGGCATCGAGTTTGCTCACGGACCAGACTACAGTAGAAGAAAGGAAGACTCCGTGGGAATTGGGATAGACGGGAGAGATGGAGAGACAGAGGGGAGGGACGGACGAGCCAGGAGTTGCATTGGTTCAGTGAACCCCACCGAGCGATCAGATATATCGTCACTTGCCCAGGAATGGAGCACATATGGCTGATTACTAAAGGCAGTGTAGTTACCTCTGTTCTCCAGTCTACAGATATCGTATGAACACAGCGCTAACGAGCCTTCTCGTCAGACTGAACACGCCTAACCCTACAAAACGAGCAAACAATACCGAGGCTCCCACCTTTCCGAATCACCGAGTGTGCGCGCGGTGCCAGTGGCCTGCTGAGCTCGCCGACTGGGCCAAACGGTGTCACGCGCCGGCCCCGTTTCCCGGCCGTGCAGCGTCACAGCGCCGCCACCCGACCCGGCCCGCAGCGTCACGCACGGTCGAGCGCAGCGTCACGGATGCGGCACGCTCACGTAACGGCGGCTCTGCAGCACGGCGTCACGCAGTCACGCAGCCATGGTTTTAGTGATGAGTGGCGTCACTCGTGGTATATGCTACCGTTCTGCAACGGAAATGCATCATGGGATGCAGATTGCAGAGTGGCAGTTGGTATGAGCTAAAACAGAGCGATTTGCATTTTGAAGGAAAAATTCCGAGGGCATCGAATGGACACGGTATCCATTCGATACCGTGTGGATCCAGCACGGTAGCCGTGAGGGGCTTATAACAGTATTCCCTCGCGATACTCCTATGACAAAATCTCAGAACGGCGGCCCAAGCGAAGAGAGACTTTAATTTTGAAAGCCTTATCACATACATCGTATCGATACCGCGCATAGCCCTATTGGGTAAATCAACTGATGAGGTGTTCCATCGTTAAGTGTCCTCACCATAAAAAATACCCTGCATAGATTCGCCTATAGGGCGGCGAGGGCGACAATTTCATTGAAACTTTCAGCAAATGGTGTGCAAGGGCGACCGGATGCCTGAAATTCATATCTCGGATTTCCTATATCGGTGACCAGGGGTAAGCATAATTTTGCGAACTCATCATTAAATATAACCGTTACTGGATGTTACGCTTCTTTCGTGCGATTGTCAAGTAAAAACTCTATGCATCGTACCTAATTGCTAAAGTAAATGAAGTGTCCATTGGATTGGACACCTCATTAAAACTAGTATAAAAAAAACTCCACCTACGCGTGAAACCACTAGGTTATACCTTCGTCCTTTGGTCTTCTTTTTAGTATCTGCAGTATTTTAGCATCTGGTTACTAACTACGTAGAAATAAGCTGACACCAAATAATGAACTCTAGCGAGCCGAAGCACCCTCTACATTTCACTGTCGGCAACTTCCGCTGCGATGAGGCAATGGAGACTGCACCATCGTCCCGGAACACAGAGAAGCTCAAATCGCCCCGGTCAGCCCTCTCTCGCCCGTGACTCAGGCGCCCACTGCCGTGCCGTCCCAATTGGGCAACATCCGCAGCAGCCTGTGGGTCGGCAAAATCGCCCCAAGACCCGGACACAAAAACGCAACACCCGGACACAAAGACCCTACAAGAGGGGAGACTGGGTTGCGGTATCGCCCCAAGGGCTTGGACACAGACTTGCCAAGAGGGGAGACTGGTCTGCAGCATTCGCCCGAAGGACACGCACATTGCACAAAGATGATCCACTATGGGAGAATGCTCCTCAGCAGCATCCTAAAAAGACAGACAGACACAAAGACGAACCCAAATGGAGACTGATTCTCAATTATTACTGTGGGTCGGCATACGCAATTATCATTCGCATGCATCATCCAAAAGTCGCACGTGAAGACGCATCACGGCGGTAGGCTGGCTAATGGCCTGCCCATAAGCATGAAAGTGACTTACGTTGTCATACAGCACCAAAGTGCATCAAATAAAGCTAGGATAAAGGATTATATAATGAGCCTCACCGAATTCCATAATTAACTACAAAAGCCGCATCATCCGCAGACAATGCAATAAGCGCTCCGTCGAGTGAAAGTCTCTGGAAGCGTCGGTAGCTCACGGTTCGGTGAGTGGAGCAGCTCTGTGGCCGGTCACGGGTCGCAGGGGGTCCATTCTGCCCTTGTCAACCATGCCGTCGAGGGGTTACCTCACCCCATCCCATCCCGACCCCCCCCCCCCCTGGCCTCCGCCCCGCATTGACGGCGTAAGGCCGGTACGCTTCAGCAGAGTCGCCCGCCCATATGAGCTAGCTGAATTACTGCTTACGCAGCCCGGAACAAAACAGCTACTGTCCTCCACCTGGTCCTGTCACAGCGACTATATGTGTTGATTTTCATTTCTTCAACATCTACATGTCACTTGACCAGCTCACTCGCCAGTTCCGGCCCGATTCACCTTTTGTCTGAGTCAGTGATGAAGGCGTAGGAATGGTGTCACGCATCACTTATTGCAGCCGTAAGGAGCCTGAGGAACACATACGTCTTCATATACGTTCCATGGAACAGATTACAGATGTAACACTGAACACTGGATATGAGCCTCATGCTACAAGGATGAGGTCACTTGAGCAGTATACCAGCCTCCGAAATGGCATCGCATCATTATGCTCGATGCGGAGTGTACGAGGGACGTGAGAGGCACGACTTCGATTGTCATCACAAAACTAAAAAGTATGTTGTAATTGTGTTACGAGAAGGTATGCCTCGCGAAATTTTAGGTTATGACAGACATCAAACGCACCTTCGATTTGCATGTTATCCAAAACGCTCATCGATTTCCTTCAGCTTTCACCCATATGAACCACTGGTCGATTTGCTTGTTTGTCCAGTGTCAACATCAAAATACTCTCATCAGTCATCCAAACAATGTGAAATGTACATCCAAAAGGAATATTCCACTCATATTGAATGGCTGAAACGTTGACCAGTTATTTCAACATTCGATTTCTCTCACTGGATTTCAACCAGGTAAGAGCGAGTGTTTATGTAGTCTCAGAGGCGAATCATTACCGGGCCTCGATGATCCCATCTGCAGCCACGGTGACTGTGAAGAACAGCTCGATAAATTGTGCTTTCACGCAGCGCGTCGTGGCGACAGTCGGACAGTCGTCTCGGGCAGGTGTGCCGGCATATTTTTGCAAGTGAGTCAGTGGATGAGTCAAGTAGGCAAGTAGGTACCTACCTATATATCCTCCACGATAAATGTCATGAGCAGTGCAAAGGTTAATTATAGGTATTGAAGGTTAACTGCGTTAAGCAACCATGCTCTCCCTAGCCATTGGCCAATGAATGAGCATTCGGGACAGATCAAACGCAGCGTCAGCGATTCATCGCCACATGCTGCGGGTAAAGGCCTACGGAGCTTGCGTGTAACTACCGGCGATCCTATAGTCCTTTGCCCTGACGAGTTAGGGTAAGATGGAGCTGCTGTCCCTGCCGATCAGCTGGAGCTCAGGTCAGTGCGAGTACTGTGGTCCGGTGCCGCCGAGCGGGACGGAAGAACTGGACCATCGCAAACCGGTGGATCGGGTCACCACCGGTGTATCCCGCATGGCCCGCGCTGCCAGCCGCTCTCAATCCGAGCCGGAGAGGCCGGCTGGGTCACCGGCTTAGCGCCGCGCTAACTTCCGCCACTCACTGCGTGCCACTCACTGTACCGGCCGGCGGACACCGGAGGAGAGCCACTCACCATCGGTCATCACCGACCGACCATCACCGTCTGCGACAAACACCGCAATACAGCGCCGCTCACCGCTCCGTCCATTG